TAGGTTGGATAATAGGTAAAATTATAAAACATTACTGTCATAGAAGATATGAATAATTATTAAAATTTAATTACAACTGACAAAATCTAATGACAACTGACTGAATCGGGTGGGTCAGTGGGTACCACTCTCACCTTCCTTTATTTTCCTTTACAAAGTCCAAAGGAAGTTTTCTGAACTGATGTTCAACCACCAGAAAGAGTGTTTTGCAGCACCCCTGTACAGGACAAACCTGGAGTATAAAATACTTCTGTAGTTATAAGGTACCAGAGCTTTGTATTCTTTCTTCCCAGTTTACCCTCTTCTTCCATGTAACGCCGATGAGCTCTATTATCCACATCACCGCAATGTTATTCATCATCTTCAGTACTTCTGGGTCATCAGTAAGGACTAGGCCAGGGGTTAAGGAGGGTTAGGCAGCCAGATGACCTTGGACCCCCAGAAGTTTTGTTTCTCCATACTTTTGTTACCTTTGTTCTTTCTTTCATTTCTCTGTCTTTCCTTTCCCCTGTTTTTGTATTATTCTGTCTTAATAATGTAATGTAGCACAACACACCTATGTAAAACACCTTGGGGCAACTCTTGTAAAAGGCATTATATTCAAATAAATTTTAATTAATTAAAGTTAGCTGAATATTTTTCATGGGCAGGGAATCCAGCAGAGGAACCCATTCAATCTAAGTTGCCTGTTCCAGGTCTCCAGGCCAGAATAGTCCATCCTCCATTTATTCTTGGTGGACATCTGGAGATAACCAGCCACCTGTCAGTCTCCTTTTATTGTAATCCTCGTCAAGGAGGTAGGAGATAGACTAGCCTTGCTTTCCCCCATGTCAGACACCCAGGAGTTGGAGAGTATATGGCAAGCCCTCCACACCTCCACACATCTTTCCACACCTGGTCCTGAAGGGAGGCAGGCCACTGTGCTCACAGGTCCCTACCCAGATGAGCCACTGTGCCCCCAGGGCCGTGCCCAGGGAAGGCCACCGTGCTGACAGGTCCCTACCCAGATGAGGCCGCAGCACCCCCAGGGCCTTGCCTAGAGGAGGCCACCATGCTCACAGGGCCTTGCCTAGGTGAGGCTGCCATCCAACCAGAGTCCCAAGGACCCAGAGGGGGCCACACTTTAACAGAGCCTCATAGCAGATGAACTGGTACTTGTTATACACACCGCAGGATTTGAATGGAAGTCCGGTAAAAAATCACCACTGGGGAAGCCAGGGGAGTTGCTTTGCCTAATTAGCACATCTGGGTATTTCAGTCATTATCAATGTGAGCACTGAGTATCCCTGATGGCCTTTTCCAGATCCCAGAGGGACTTTCAAAAACATTACACCAAAAAGCAATTTGGTGATTATACAAAAACCTTCACCAGGATTTTCCTCTCTGCACCTTGTAGGCTTTCACTCACCAGACAAACACTTTATACACAGGTCTGTTGCCAGAAATGAATTTTGAGGGGGATCCGGCAGATTTCAAAGAGATTTAAACTCCCTAATTTATTACATGGCTGCATGGCTCCTTCTACATTGCCCACAGCTCAGGGCTTGTTATGTCTTATACAAATATTCACCGATCAGCCATAACATTTAAACCACTGACGGATGATGTGAATAACATTGATTATCTCATTACAATGGCACCTGTCAAGGGTTCCATTATATATTAGGCAAGCGAACAGTCAGTTCTTGAAGTTGATGTGTGGGAACCAGGAAAAATGGGCAAGCGTAATGGTCTTAGTGACTTTGACAGGGGCCAAAATGTAATGTCTAAGCAACTAGGTCAGAGCATGTCCAAAACGGTAGGTCTTGTGCGGTGTTCCTGTTATGCAGTGGTCAGTACCATTGAGTCATGGGCACCCAAGGGTCATCGATGCATGTGGGGAGTGAAGGATTGCCCCACTGGTCCAATCTCACAGGCTACTGTAGCACAAATTGCTGAAAAAGTTAATGCTGTTATGATAGAAAGGTGCACTATGGGAAGAAGGCAAGCCAATGGAGGGAGTGTGATGTTCTGGGCAATGTTCTGCTGGGAAACCTTGGGCCCGGGCATTCATGTGGATGTTACACCAAGTCAAGTTCACCCTTCATGGCAACGGTATTCCCTGATGGCAGTGGCCTCTTTCAGCATGATAATGTGCTCTGTCACATAGCAAAAAATTGTTGATTGAGGATTATGAAAAGGTGTTCAAGGTGTTGACTTGGCCTCCAAATTCCCCAGATCTCAGTCCGATGGAGCATCTGTAAGATGTGCTGGACAAACAAATCCGATCCATGGAGGCCCCACCTCACAGCTTACAGGAGTTAAAGGATCTGCTGCTAACGTCTTGGTGCCAGATACCACAGGCCACTTTCCCAAGGGATCAGCGCTGGTTTGCAGACATGCAAGGGGCCTACACAATGTCAATATTAATATTTATTCATGTAAAGTTATGGCTAATCGGTGTAGTCAGTGTTGTGATATTGTTTATCATGGATAGCATTTGTTTGGTTTTGTTAAGCAGAAACTTATGTTCTAACCCTGTATTTGATAAACCAGTTTTGTGACAGAGGCCCATGATGGAGGGGAAAACTAGGGAAGCATTGTTACTTAGTTCATCTTGTTTAATAAAATAAATGCATTTCTATAGTGAATATACAGATTATTACATTTTTTGTGGTATGCAATAATACTGTATAGGCAATTCTCAGGGATAAAAAATCGCTTGATTATTGGATAAAAATAATCGCTCTAGTTTCAGACATCCCACCTTACGCATATTGATTTCAGGGAGGCGGATGAGGGACAACCAGCTGGAGGGGAGGGCATTTTTTAGGGTGGCGGTATTGCCATTCGAAAATACTTCAACCCGCCGACCGCTCAGCAAATTCCAGAATACTGTTGTTTTTTACCATACCGTATACCACAGTGCAATGTCTGGACAGTATCATGGTATTAAAAATTGCTTGTTGCTAGCTGGGGGGTGACGTTGGGGTACTGCCAGTAAAGTTTGCCGAGCTAAGGGTAGAGGGGTGCTCTGTCTACCGGGGCGAGAAAATGTTAGCAAAATCTGCCGCCTGCATGGGTTGCAGCACTACAATGTCTCTCTGACTAATTGTACCGCCACGGATTAGCAGAACAACGGATTTCCAGGACATTACTCACGGATGTCAGGGAGCTGCTGTCAATTTGTGGGAGACTCATGGAAATTCCGGGAGAGACAGGATGTCTTTAGTTTCAATGCTACCTCCTGTTTCAGTCCCACTTTCTTTCATGGTGTCGCTGACCTCAGCCTCTTTATAAACAAGTTTGTGGTGTTAACTTAAAGTGTAATTAAATTAACTAGGTGCTTTCCTATAAGTTGTGTGCCACAGACTGGACTGCTTAGATCCACGACACCTTGCCCTTATTAAAGCTTGCATTGTACTCAAAATAGCTTCACACTCTGCATTCACATTTGCATTCAGTGAAGTTTTTGTGCCTCGTGCTTTTAGTTTAGTTTTAATTTTGATTAACAAAATTCTTTTATTATCATTTTAGTTTTAGATTCGGCATTATTCGATAAAAACCTTGCTGAGACATAGCTAGAATTCCTGAGCTAAGACTGAACAGCATAACCACAGGAGTAAAAATGAAAACAAGAACCAGGCATAGAGACCACAAAAACAAATTAGATACAAAGTATATAGGCGTATTGATTTTTCAATAACAATATTCAGCTTTGAACTTCATATACAGTTAAATTAGCACTTCCAGGTTTGGTCAATCACCAGCAAATTTACAAAGTTAAAAGTTAACATGCAAAACACAAAGTTAATGACTTAGATCATTTATTGAAATAAGTAAAAAAAAACAGTCTAAACCAATAACTTAATACACAAAACCACTGTCAATGTACAAACAACACATTCCTTTTAAATATATTCCTTTTAAACAATATTCCATGTATTTCAGGCTCAATTTCATTGTCCTTGGCAAGAAATTAGCGATTTCTTAGTTAAGTTCCATTCTGAGGGTAAGATTACCAATTACACCCATTATACATTATGATATGCATGTTACTGGCAACTTTTGAGTTATTATATGATTATTTAATATTTTATTTTATAGTTGAACATACTTTAGTATTCATCATAGAAATTAGCCTAACTGCATGGGTATGACTGCTGAATCCACACCTGCATAGAACATAGGTGAGACAGTTACCCCAACCCCTGGAGGTGTGAGCTAACAGGGCCACCCACTGATACCCCGATACTATTTCAAACTTGTAAACACTTTAAAATAATAAGCCATAATATGCTTACATTAACATTGGTAATTAAAACTTCTATTAGGAGTGTAACGGTACACGTATTCGTACCGAAAATTTTCGGTAGGGGCCTTTCGGTCAGGTACACAAATGTACCAAACGCATACAGCAAATGCAGAACCTTTGCATTTCCCTCGAGCAACATTCGGAAAGGGGCGGATGAAGCGGCGTCACTATGCGTGCACGTGTACGTCCGAATGTGAATCTGGAAGCTCTTAATGTGAATACAAGTACAGGTATTTGTTTAAATGCTGCACCATAATGGATATTTATTTTGTAATGCTTTGTATTTTTTGAGACAATATATGTGTTGCACAGTTCTAATATGAAGCTGAAAGCTGCTAATGTGAATACAGCACAGAACAGGTTCAGTTAATTTTCTAAATCTACACCTTAATGGATATTTATTTTATTTTTATTAGTATGTTGTAGCAGTAAATAAAACATTTTAAAACTTTTTATTTAAGAAAGACAGTCATACTTTGTTCAGTAAACCTCTGTTTAATAAAGAAAAAATAAGCAGTTTATGTTTTGTGTCCTTTACCCCCGCTGTACCGAAAACATACGGAACCGTGACTTCAAAACTGAGGTACGTATCGAACTATAATTTTTGTGTACTGTTATACCCTTAACAGCTGATTATGAATATTACTTTCAAATTCTATTCACTGACGTACCTTTACATCAGGAGTCAAGTACAGTCACCCCTCCATATTTGCAAATTCATGGTTTTATTTATAAGTTAGCCATGAAAAAATAAATGGAAATGTTTTTGGAGCTTGCTGAAAGATTGCACAAACTCACAGATGACGCGCAAGGCAAAAACAATACTGAAAATTATTTGGATCACATAAAACCATATATAGGCCTAAATATTAATATTTATAGTACATACTATATCTTTAATATTAAAAGTCTTGGCTTGGATACACCGTGCATGTTTGTCTTGGCAACCAGCCACACTCATGTGTTATCCCTTGTGATTTTGCAGGGGTGAATGTGATGTTGTATTTTTTTTAAATAGACTGAAAAAAAATAGACTAACCAAAAGTAATTCTCCCGTTCTGAAAACATGGAAAATTAAAAAAATTTGTATTTATTTCCAGTACAACTACTGTATACAGACTTCAGATATACCTCCAAAATGTTTTTTCTGACGCCAAATTGACCCAGTGTCGTTGAGCTTCCTCAAGTTTTTCTTCCAAGCACTGAACAATAACAGGATCAACTTTAGAATCAAACTTATTGGCAAACCAGTGCCCATAAGTAAGGAGCCAGCGGAACTCTGCAGCCCCATAGATGCACACAGCACGCATGTGACTGCCAGTGCAGGGGGGGTACAGTGACCCCTCCAAGTATACCCACTTTACTAGGCGCGTTTTACTCATCAGATCCGTGACATCGGGCTCGGACCTTGGGATTTCACCAGGTACCCCTGGCACTCGCACCAGCGTGGCCCAGAAGTGTTCGTCTGGTGAGTAGGTATCTGCAGACCAGGACAAGAAGTCATGCATCAGCTGACTGTCGTAGATGTAATTCACAAACTCGTGTGACAGGATGAAGTAGGCACTTCCCACGAAGACCTTGATGCTGTGCGGTGGAGGCGCTTTGGTCTGTGCCGTCTTAACAGGAATTCTTTTGTAATCAAATTCGATGTCCTGCAGAACGTGCTGGAATTCAAAGCGCTGTCTCTTCTGTTTACTGGGACGGGTCGACTCGAGCATGTTGGCACCCTGCAGTTTCTTCAGCTCTGCCACTAGCTCAAAGTTGGACCTGAGAGGGAAGTCTTGGCCGCACAGGTTGATGACATATCTCCATGGGACTACAGACCCAAGAAGGTCAGACAGACAGTTGAGGTCAGCTTTAAGCCTTGTTATGTGGGCATATTCTACTGATTCCAATCTGGAGGCGATAAAAACATTGGGGAAGCACCTGGCTATGTTCTCCATAGCAGCAATAAATGTCTTTGAAGATTTTTGGTCATAGTGAAGGCAGTAAATATTATGAGGCATGTAGATGGCCGACAACATCCTTTCTACCATGGAAGCACGTTTATGCAGAACTAAAGAGTAAGCCAATGGAAATTCCTTCTCCTCGTCTGATAATGGTTTATGCATGTGTCCTCTCAACTCTTTGTAACTCTGACAGTCTGAAGTCAAATTGACAATATCGTCATCTTCCAAATCGATAATGTTTTTATGCCTGATTTCTAAGGACTTTCCAACTTCCATCGGGTCCAGTTTATAGATTGCAGAACAATCAATGTCATATTTCTTTAGCTGGATTCTGGAGTTATTTTCTGCATTTCCATATGGTTCTATGAGTAAGCCACCTTTAGCAGAGTATTTTTTGTGGACGACAAGAAACTTGAAAAGACATACGATGGCCAGTGAAAGAAGGAGGCACTTGAATCTCAGCAGACGCAAGATAAAACATCGTAAGTTCATTCTGTAATGGATAAAAAAAAGTTATATTTGCAGCACTTTGTATATGATATACATATTATTTTCAATTAATGACACTATATAAGACATATCTTGTAACAAGCATCCATCTTGACACTCAGTATACATGATATGCTCAGTGTCTGCGTGTGTGTCTGCATGGTCATATATTGTTGAAAACATGGTTTCAAACCATATTAGTTTATAAATACTGTTGCTACTGGCTGCTTTACAAATGCCAACCACTCTAAAGATAAATCATGCACTTTTTCCTAGAAATTAAATTGATTCTACAGAGAAAAAGCTCAAATTCATAGCATAGAAATATTCCCATGTAGCAGAATTCTTAATAACAAAGTAATCATTACTAGACTAAATTACCCTTAATAAAGCCAACTGAATGAATAGGTAACTGTGAGAATAACATATGCCTAATATAGCAAATAACTGACAAAAAAGAGGAAACATCAGTACTTCCTGTCTGTCATTAACAGATAAGTGCAATCACTAAACTCACAAGACCTGACAGATAACAGTACATGTAACACAACGGGCTCTGACTTTTCAAGTTCGTAGTATCAGAACTTCAGATACCTGACATATTTTATTAAATGCTAAAATCTTAAGCACTCAAAGGAAAAATGTATAGCTTTATCTGGGTAGTAATGTGTACTTGCTCAGAAAAAAAATAAACAATTTAACATTAGAACGTATGCAAATTAAGAACAAAGTCAAAAGTAGCAAGAATTTAGAGATCAGAGGTAATTGTCAACACACAGTGCGCAATAATGAAATGTGTTTTCTGCATTTAACCCATATGTGACTTTAGTGCATATGGGATAATTCAGCGCCCGTGGAGCAGTGCTTGGGGGCGGTACCTTGCTCAGGGTACTTCAGTGGTGCCTTGCTGGTCGGGGATTCAAACCTGCAATCTTTCAATTACAAGTGTGCTTCCTTAACCATCAAGCCACCACTGCCCACCCATTTTCTTCCATTCTCCAAAAAGATGATATGTTGGATGGCTAGATGAACACCGCTTCAGTTCCCAAACCTCTCCTCAGGGTCACCTCAGCCATTCCATGGATCATTAAATTTCACCACCAGCTCACTTAACTAATTAACTTAATTAGTTGATCCAATGAGATACCGATTAACCATACGAGGCGTGGTAGTGATCAAGTCAAAAAATACACTGGCATGTTGGATAACTGCTGCAAATACTGTGTTGCGTCGGGCGGGACGGCGGCGGTCGGGCCGTGGTCGGCTGCCCCGGAGCCCTGGGTGAGACCGGGGCCAACCGCCGAGATGGGACCTGGGGGTGTGGAGGGGCACCAGGGAGTCTACCCCGCCGTCTGTGTCCCCTCCCTTTCCGGGAGACTGAGAAGTGGGACCCCGGCCGTGAATCACCTCGATGAGGTGCCGGTGGTTGGGGTGACCCCCCGAGGGGGTCCACAGGCACAGTCAGGGTGGTCCCCGAGGGGTCCCACTCCAGCTCCTCCTCCAACTCCATTGTGGAGGAAGGAGCGGGGGTTAGGTTGTCAGGGACCACCTTGGGGACTGAGACCGAGGGAGCCGGGACCGGGGAGACTGAGGCCGAGGGAGCCGGGACCGGGGAGACTGAGGCCGAGGGAGCCGGGACCGGGGAGACTGAGGCAGAGCCAGGGCCAGCTCCTCAGAAGGGGGCGCCAGAGCAGGAGCCACGGGTGAGGGGGCCTTGGGCGCCAGAGCAGGAGCCGCGGGGGACACTGAGGGGACCTCGGGGGACGCCGCGGGAGGCACAGGAGTCACGGGGAGCACAGGAGTCACGGGGAGCACAGGAGTCACGGGGAGCTGAGGGGGCTGCACAAGGGACTGGGCAGGGTGCGCCCACTCCAGGCCAGCAGGGGGCAGTGCAGCTGGAGCAGGAGGCACAGGAGCCTCTGGGGGCGCCACAGGAGCAGGAGAAACAGGCACCTCTGGGGGCGCCACAGGAGCAGGAGACACAGGCGCCTCTGGGGGCGCCACAGGAGCAGGAGACACAGGCGCCTCTGGGGGCGCCACAGGAGCAGGAGAAACAGGTGCCTCTGGGGGCGCCGCCCGGTTCGGGAGCTTGGGGACCCGCGGGATGGAGTCCCAAACGGACCTGGCTCCTTTAAGGACCAGGTGCGTCCCGGAAAAGGGACAAGCTGCAAACGCAGGCAGCGAAGCGGCGGGTGGACAGTCAGGGCAGGCGGTAACAGGTGCGAACACTGTCGGGTTTAGAACAGGGAGGGGGTCCTCCCGATACCTGGCTAAGGAAGCAGCGGAGACAGAGACAGCCCCCAGACACACCTCCTGCGTGTCTTCCTGTCTGTGGTTTCTCCACCTTTTCCTTTGCCTTCCAACAACGGGCGGCGGCGTTTGGGGCACCTCCGGTAGTTCAGCCAGAGGACCGTTTGCCAAACCGAGGGCGGCGGCTTCCCTTTTTAATTTAGCGTCCGTTACCCCGCGTCTCAGCCGCCTTAACTGTTCGCGCACCTCCCTAGACTGGTGCGCGTCTCCGGGCAGGGACATCTCCTCCAGGACAAACACAGGAAGCACATTACAATGACCGGACTGGGGAAATAAACGGAAACGCGGACTAAATACAATGGGCGTGGCACACAAGAGGAGCGGACGATCGGGGCATGACATACTGGGGTGACTTTAAGAGATGTTTTGATATGGCTAAGCTGACATACTCTGACAGACATTATTCCAACATGAAGATCATATAAACATAATTTTCTTTGACTGCCTAAGACTTTTCTGTACATAATGTGTTTTAGAGCTTGATGTTACCAAGCAAAAATGTTTAGTTCTCTTCGATGAAATATATAAACAAATGTGTTTTCATAATTAACTCACATTAAAGTTTCATGTGTTTTGGGATGTTTCACCATTTATAGTATTCATGATAGTTTAATGTAACAGTGTGAGATATATTTAAAAACAGGATACATCTGTTTGAATGAGTGAATATTGTATGGTTATTAGTAATTGTTTGGAGAAATCTTTGCTCTTCTGGAAATCCAATCTGAGTATCTGACTATTTAAGATGTGGTGTTCTCAAAACAAGGAGGAGGACAGTCCACAAAAGGTATTACGTGAAAGGATGTGGTTAACTGCCTCGTTATTAGTATCAAAATTGCCTGGAAACAATAAGTTTGATAAGTTCACCTTAGATCCATGCACATGATGACAATCCCTACAGAAGAATGAAATCATTCAAGGCATTTTCATCTAACACTGTATGTTCAAGAATACTTCAAATTTTAACAGCTTTAAAAGGAACATTTGAAATAAAAAAATTGTGAAATTATTACATTTTCCCCTCGCCGTACATTACTTGTATAACGAATCTGTTTAAATATTCGGACATGAAAACACATACACGGACATGAAAACACATACACGGACATGAAAACACAAATCACATAAATCATTCCAAAAATATTACCTAACGAACACCGTCCATCTCCACTCTTGATTCACAACAAGATGCCCCTCAGCTTTATTTAAATGTAAAATATATGAGCCAGCAGCTAGTGCTAGCCTATTTTAATGTAGGCCTATGTACCATAAATACCACCCGGGTGCTTTTTCTGCACTGAATCTTCAAACTGTATAACTTTAACCACTGCTATATCTGTCTGTGATGCTGTTCTTAGTTAAAATTAACTTGTTTTTGATAACGTTTTGCTGAACAAGTTGACAGATTACTTTTTAAATATTCTAACCCAATACAGATTCAATTCGAATAACGCTCTTCAATGATCCCCATCACTCAAGGAAATATTTCACTAGTACTGTTTAAACTCCGCTGCAGAACTCAGCACTATCCGATACCCAAGCCAGCCTCCTTTCCAAACGTCAATGATGCCTTGTAACTTTAATTGATGTGTTCTTCCTTAACTCAAAACAGAATAATCAAGAAAAAAATCTACAAACATAGGTAGGGCCTATTGTTTTAATAAGAGTGTATTTACATTCACATTCATTAATATTTTTAATTAAAATGTATGTCTGTGGTCTGGTAGGCCTATATTATTATTAAAATGCACATTTATTCATCCAGTTTTGGTTTTTACACCTTGCGTACCCCGTTCTGTGCATTTAATTCTGAAATTATACCATACATATCCATCTGTACATTTTCTGTACCCGCATGTCCTGTTCAGCGTCGCTCGGATCCGGAACTTTTCCCGGAAGCTACAGGCGTATATACAAATCTAGCTTAATTGTAAGAGCCTACAACACAATTAATGAGTATTTCTGATGAGCAAATGTGTCACTATCATTCATCCATTAATTCATTCATTATTGTCACTGTCATTTCGATATACGGCTTTGACCCGTTCAGGGTAGCGGGGGTACGGAGCCAATCCCAGAAACAGCTGGCGCAAGGAGCCAAGCGATCGGAAGGCACAGAAACACATGAGCTATTGTACCCCGCAATATTTAATTTCGCTTCATTTACCCCCACTATAAATAGACATTTTTGCTTAAATAATTAAGTTGAGTTCCCACCACCCCCAATAAACTCTCCTACGCCGATGCACACACACAGATAATTTGGCAACTCCAATTCACCCTAACATGAAATGTGGGGGACCCGGCACGGGGAGGACATGCGCATTCTGCACACGCGCAGCCAGAATTCTCAAACTCCAGCCCTGGTCCCGGAGGTGTTCGGCAACAAGTCTTAGTGCGCCGCCGTTCCGCCCCTATATGTTTGTAGTAGCTTTGGTAACTGAAAAAAGTCATTTATGAATAGTTATTTCTTTCAGCCATCCACATAGCCTACATAGAACCAGGAGAGGAACCATAAAGAAGCATGAGACAACCGCGCAGTGTCGCACCGTGCCGTCCAATATGTAAATCCCCATTGATACCAAAACTTCTGACAGCAGTCTCACGCAAATTATTTTCGGAATTGGTTTAAGCGTTGTTAAACATAGCCGTACACTAACAGAAACACACATAACATTCACAAATAAAAATAAAATAAATTATGACACGGAAAAAGCGGACAGCCATACATTTAGTTTCTATAACGCTGGGTGATAGTAACGGGACTACTCTAAGTTCGCTGCGGGTAATGTTTTCTCCTTTTACTGTTTTGGATACACTCTGAACAAACCACTAGCAGGCTTACATTAATAACAGCTAAATCACTTACTTAATACGTCTACTTTAAAATCAGCTTTATTTACAAACACGTTTTCAAACTGAATACATCTATCATTATTCTGGAATAAGCGACTGATGCACATTTTCACTACTGGGCTAACAGAGCCAACTAAGCAGTTTACTGCCATTAATACTCCCCTTAACGACACGACCGTTTGCGGAATTAAATTCGAGCATGTTCTCACCAAATAGTTATTTTACTTTATTTAAATATTACTTTAATAAAAACATATGAATGAAGCACAGGGTTACTTACTTTCATGATACCCAAATGGCTCTCCACGCCTGACAGGTCTGATTGATAATTCAGCTTCATGACTTGCTGTGGACCGAAGAGGAGAGGGGTAAGAACTAAGAAGGTATGGAGGTAGGAGGGTAAGAGGGTAAGGGGGCAGGAGGGGGAGGAGTCAGGAGGGAAGTGGGAGTGAAAAGGACCCAGAGGGAACCTGTCATTTACAAATACAGACTCCCAGTAAGAAGATACTGTAGTACAGAAAGAGCTTAGAATCTCATACATTTACTTCAGCTTAAATAAACTATTTTAATGCATATAGTGATTTAGTTAGGATACTGTTATTACTTATAGATATTTTTCTACAGACGAGAGATCTCTCCAGCATGTCCTGAGTCTGCCATTGGGCCTCCTTCCATTTGGATATGCCTGAAGCATCTCCCCACTAAGGTGCCCAGAAGGCATCCTAGATAGATGGCCGAACCACCACAACTGGCTCCTTTTGATGCAGAAGAGCAGCGACTCTAATTTGAACTCCTCTCGAATGTCCAAACTCCTCACTCTATCTCTAAAGCTGAGCCCAAGCACCCTGCAAAGGAAACTCAGTGTAGGTGGGCACTGTATGTGGACACCATCTTATCCAAGACCTCATTTCAAAACCAAAATATGAATATATGAAGTTGGTCCACCCTGTGTTACTATCATAGCCTCTACTCTTTTGGGAAGTCTTTCGATTAGATGTTGGAGCATTAATGGTGGGATTCACTGGCGTTTGGTTTGGGTATTGACGTCGGGTGATTAGATCCCTTTCTGTGAGCTTGTGTCACTAACCACACCTGAACTCGTTCAGCCATGTTGTGACCTTCACAATCACTTCACCTGCAGTTGAACAGGGCAGCTCTAACAGGGCAGAAATGTGGCAAACTGACTTGCTGGAAATATGGTGTCTTATGATGGTGCCAAGTGAAAAGGCACTAACCACGTCTGTAATACTACCCATTCTATTACGTATGTTTGTTGCATGACTGTGTGCATAATTATACATCAGTGACAGCAATGGGTTACCAATTCCTCTAATTAATAGGGGTGTCCACATGAGTTTGGCCATGTAGTCTGTCTGTCTGTCTGTCTGTCCATCTACAGTGGCATGCAAAAGTTTGGTCACCTCTAGTCAAAATGTCAGTTACTGTGAATAGCTAAGCAAGATGACACATTTCTGTGATATTATTTAGCAAGATTACTTTTTACTTCCGTTGTTCACAGCTTCATAATAACAAAAAAGGAAAAGGCTGAAGTTTAGGCATCTTGCATGATCAGTCCTTAGTAATACCCCCTTTGGCAAGTAGCACAGCTAAGAGTCTTTCAGTTCTTGTTTGGGGGATTTTCACCAATTCTTCCTTGTAAAAGGCTTCAAGGTCTGAGTTTCTTGGGCATGCACTGCTCTTTTGAGGTCTAGCTACAGATCTTTGATGATGTTTAGGTGAGAGCATGGTGAGGGCCATGCCAAAACCTTCAGTTTGTGTCCCTTGAGGAAGTTCATTGTGGAATTTAAGGTGTGTTTAAGATTGTTGTCCTGCTGTAGAAGGCAACCCTCTTTTCAAATTTAGCTTTTTTTTTTTACAGACAATGTGTTTGCTTCCAAAATTTGCTGGTATTTAATTGAATCCATTCTTCCCTCTACCAATGAAATGTTCCCTGTGCCACTGGTTGCAGTACAAGTACAAAGAATGATCAATCCACCTCCGTGCGTAATGGCTGAAATGCTGTGCCCTTCTTTCTCCCAGCATACTTTTGCTCATTGTGGCCAAAAAGTTCTATTTTAACTTCATCAGTTTACATGACTGCATCAGGCTTATTCAGATGTTAATTTGCAAAGTTCTGTTGTTGAATTTTGTGGTGAGGATGCCAGAAAGGTTTTCTTCTGATGGTTTTTCTTTGAAGGTCATATTTGTGCAGGTGTTGTTGCACAGTAAAACAATGCACCACCACTCTGGAGTCTGCTAAATCGACTTGAAGGTCTACAGTCAAACAGGGGTTTTGATCTGCCTTTCTAGCAATCCTACGAGAAGTTCTCTCAGAAAGTTTTCTTGGGCTTCCAGACCTCAACTTGACCTCCACCATTCCTATTAACTGCCATTCCTTAATTGCATTCTAGACTGAGGAAACAGCTACCTGGAGATGATTTGCTATCTTCTTATACCCGCCTCCTGCTTTGTGGGTATCAATTATTTTTATTTTCCAGAGTGCAAGAGATCTGCTTAGCATAGTCCATGGCTGCTGATTGTTGGACAAAGTCTGAGGAGTTAGAGTATTTATACCGCTTTGAAATCTGCATCATTTCCTAACAAAGACTGTGAACAAGCCATAGCCCTAATGAGCTAATTAAGCTCTGAAACTTTGAAAATTGTTGCAAATTTGTTATCAAGACGGACAGTCGAGGCTTGAGCACTCAGATAACCTTTGCCAAAGAACTTCTCCCTCCCTGGGTAAGCAAATATCAAATATCATCTCCACACAGCCAGCCCGCAGAGATGGGGTTCCGCTGAAAATGGGGTTGCTGGTGAACCCGCTGACTCGGGCAAAGTGCCAGGCTCCCTGTGGTATGAAGAGGCTAGACATGACTAGGGGGAAGGAACCAGCAGGCAGAATGTTGAACCCCCCCGACCAAGTACAGCAGCCCCGTGTGTGGGATATCTCATAGATGTTCCTGTGGCCCATAATGTGGCGAAAGGCGCTGATTTATTGACACTGAACGAATCGGGATGTGTGGTAGAAAAGGTTACGGAAAGCGAAACTTGAGATGAAAATGGTCATGATTGTGAATCCAGTTCTGAATGCACGTCTGTCACTGACTGTTTCCCAAAACCACGATCTGTATACACTGCAAGAAATTAATGACTTTAGATGCTTTTACTTTTTAGGGAAAAGAAATAAAAGTTAAAGACCACTTCCCGTTGAGAAAGACCAATACCATGTTGAGAAATTTATTAAATCTGAAACTACATTAAGAAAACAATTTGGCACTGATGTTCTAAACAAGAAAAGGTGGCATAGGTTACAGAAACATGTTATGTTGTTAAAAATATCAATAAAACAAAAGGGTCACAAAATATAAGGAAGTGTAGTTAATGATACAAATGTATTTCTGTCAGTCGTTCTATTTTACTGTTTTCCTATTTAGCCCTTCATGCAGTTTACTAATTTTTTATCCCTCGGTATAAATTGTGGGAGTGACAGACAAGAGTTGTTTGCCTTTTGAGGTGGCATTTCAAAGATGCTATGCTGTCCTTTCTATAGGAAACACACAGTGATGAGAAGAATGAGGTAGACTGGGGTTTGGGATGCTGTCTGAGCTGCTGCACAAATCTTAGTTCAGAGGTGGCAGTTTTTTTCACTGTGAATTTTGCTATTTGTTTATTATTGTCAGAGGAAATGGTGAATGGGGGAGGACTTATGGTGTGGTTAGAAGAGAGGTTTTGTTTAATGTCTACGCACCAAATTAGGGTGCTGAACGTGTAGCCTTTTTAACAGTTAATGGGGGTCCTGGGAAAAACAGGATAGCAGGCAGCACTTTATTATAGCAGGGGTAGTGAAACCGTGGACTTTGATGTAGACTGGACCAGAGAGGAATTGCAACTATATTCACCTAGAGCTGTCTTGTTTTTAAATCCGGTTTGGCTTCTTGGCATCAGACAATACACATAGGTGAAGGCAACAGGAAATATGTTATGTGCAGGCAGGACTATAACTTGTATATATATAAACAAAAACCATCAGACTTACACATAGTGCCATTGTTCCTGTTGACTTTACAGACCATCACTTAACACCCATGAAACTTAGTTTCATTACCCACTCAAAAAAAAATCTTTCTGGCATTTTAACATCAAACTTATGCAGGACTCTTCAAAAACATTTTAAGGACTTTTGGTTTTCCTGGCACAGAAAAGCTGATTTTTCAATTACAAACGCAATGGTGGTAAGTAGAGTGTCATTCAGTTTCAATTCAACAAATCCCATCCCCTGTATTCTTATAACCAGTCACAAATTCAAAAAGCAAAGCTTACCATGTACTTAATGTAAAATAAAATAAAATAAAATAAAGGTTTTCCCCTTGCAGTGCAGTGTGGCACACTTTAGAAGGCTAATCACGTCATACTTCCATCCATTTCCAAACTCTGCTTTGTAGACTACATGAATCGGCCACTTTGTTGTATATAGAAGACAACCATCAAGAAATGAGACTGGCGATAAAAGACAACGCTACAGTGCAATTAAAGGTTTACGGTCAATGGGTCAGGCCTCTGTGCCTGTGACTGGAAGGTCGTCGATATATTCATAGTGTGGTGTGTTTGTGAGAAATTTAACAAAAATGAGTGAGAAGAATAAGCAAACAAGAATGGATTACCAGAAGACATTTGTCTTTCATTGAATGCCATTGTATGCTACTGTTCTTGAGTTTAATGATTTACGTTATCCTTTTGCAGCAATTAGTAATATCTCAGTATGTATGGAAAGAAATTTTTTGATCTATACTCCATACACCACTCTCTCTGTGTTTGGTGGGTGTGGGGTGAGGGCAGGAGCAATGCAATATTGTTAGAATAATGACTGGCAAAATTTGACTAATAATTCTGTCAAATGCCAATGTCCACTACAAACTAATCAATCAACTGTACGCTTTTATGTTGAGCTGGGGAATTGAAAATGTGTTTTGTGGAATTGAAAATGACATGTTAATACTGAATGTTTGAATTTCATTCATTTTTGATTTTCTGTTGTCACATTGTGTTATGTATAATTACATATTCTTGAACTATCTAGAAAGCAGTCAAAGTTAACTAAGAAAAAAAAAATATGACCTAGTCAAAAGCTGTTTTATTTAAGTTTTGAGTGCTCAACAAGAATGGCACAACCTAATGCTTAATGTTCATGTTACATAAAACAGGAACATTTTAAGAACATCACTAGAACTTTAAGAACAGATAAATATACAAATTTGATATGATCAATAGGTCAAAATAATTATAACCGAATCTATTTAATCTAAACAGTTGTACACATTGCATGCATGTACACATGGAAAGGTCTCCTCAAATGGTCCAGTCATCAGACTCTAACAGCCTCTTCCAATGTTGGTCCAGTTCATAGTTGTTCATGAACTCACTGTCACTTACTAGAAGAATGGTCTGTATCCTCGTTAAATCACTGATGGAGGACTTGGTACACATCTCTGTGCAAGCAACATTAAAATGAACAAATCAGGACATGTTATATGATCACAAGTTAGTTCTATAAAAAGGACAGGATGTATCTATAAAACCATTTTGAAAAGCCTATAAAATTAATGAAAAAAAAAACTTAAACACAACTTTCACACACTCGATAATGAGGGCACAGCTAGTATTTTTAGCCATTCTCTGTCCCAACACACTAGTGAGATACTTTCTATATTTGTCTGGAGAAACGATTAATAAATATGTAAAAAAGCAAAGACTTGTACTATGAACCCAGAGGTGCACAATCTGCAAACAAAAAAAGCACCACTCATTATAAGGCGAGTAAGTACTGGGGTGTACCAATTATGGCACACACTCAAAGTGCATTGTATCTTGCAGTATGTGTATCTGCCTCATCAAATGGTTATTATATAGCAAACAATCAAAAGGTACAGTTCAAGACTTTCCCTCAAATAACTCGACTAGACACTTTACATACAAAGAAGCTTAGGAGTAAATTTTCTCCACTGTGTTCAGAACATTTTTCCTCAACTCTTACTTAACCTTTAAGGAGATCTGGAGGTGTGACTTTGGATGGACAGTTTTGCTGTGATGCTGTGGAGTCGTCGGCCACTGGGCCAGCCTTCTTTATGTATTCTAAGAGTGGTTTGGACCTGTATGTCACCTAAAATAAAAACAGACATTATTCACAACAATAATTTTGGATTCATTATTAAACATTTAACACAAGCAGCACAACAAATCAAAAAGTTCCTCTAAGTATGCCTTTGGACAGCAGTTAAGTGCTTTGATTTCAGATTACCCTCCTGGTGACTCTGTGTCAAAAGACACTGTACAGTTCAAGTGTGTCAATATAACTGGGGGTCTTAGAGCATTTAGTTAGACTCCCTGGACACCAGTTACCTATTCTAAGGCAGCACAAGTTTTTACTGAAATTAAAACATAAATGACCATCGATAGATGACAACACAGTTGACCTTAGATCCCCCCCAAGTCATTAGTCCAACCAAAGAGATATATATTTTCATTTGCTGTTTTTTGATGTTTGTGTTTGCTTATGTATAAGTGCTATACGGTATCTACTTTGGGAAGGTTGCCCTAAACTAACATAAATATCCGTTTCCCATAACCAACTCTAGGTAAACAATTAATAGAAACGCGTTTCGTCTTAACTGCTTTCTTTCTTTCTACCTTTTTCCATGCATATGTTGGGCTCATAGGAACACTGGGCCCCAAAACAGATCCAATCCACTGCTCTGGAGAAATGTAGACTTGACCTCCTGTGTCCTTTATAGATCCATTTTCCTGGAGGGAAGCTATGTGACAATTACCCTAAGTACCAAAACATAAAAAGTAAAACTGTTCAAGCCAATGATACCTATGAAACCACACTGCTGGTTAAGTGGAATTGCATCCAGAAGCTCAGCTTTCATACACTGAAACAATATGAATGACTTGAATAAACATGTTCTCTTGCAGAAATGAGCATTTTAATATTAAACATTACATTTTTGATTATATATAAATATTACACTGATTTTAGGCCATCTACCTTTAACTACATAAGCTGTGTCTATAAAGTGTTTGTAAAAAGTAGCGAAAACAAGCATTTGACAAAAACATTACGCCTCTAGGATTATTGTATTTTTTGTATGATTTTTAACAAATAATAAAAATGAAATCACCTTCAACTTTAGCCTGAACACATTCTCTCCAGGTTTGATGGTGCCTCGTTTAATAAGATGAGCCAGCTCAGATGGTGCCTTAACAATCTGTGATTCAATGTGTTCAGTGTGAACTGCAACTGGGCTAGCCTGGACTGTGAAACTGGGTGGCATGTCTGCTTGGTTATCAACATTCACAAAGCCATCAAAAAATGTGCCTGAATCTGTGGGTAGTTCCTTAACTGTGAACTGGGGTCCTGCATAATTGATACCCAAAGTAACTTGGGCTTGGTCACTGCAGCTCAGTAAAACAGCTTCATTGCAGAGGCTCAAAGCTGAGCTGAAACCTGAACAGTTTTCTTCTGAAAGTTGGTCCAGAGTACCAGTGTGACAGTCTCTCCACTGGGTTTTGTGAATTGTTTCGGCATCACATATGTTCATACTTGTCCAAGGAGCTTCTGTGGTGGTTTGACTCTCAAAAGGCTTGTTGTGGAACATCTGAAATCTAACTCTGAGATTGTTCTGTCTTTGCAGTATATCCAACAGGCGTTTTTGCCTTGAAGAAAGTGATGATAATTGTTCTCTGAGAGTGCCATGCTTAAAAGAATCAGAGGCAATCCTGGGGAAAAAAAAACTCATGAAATGGTTGTTAGATAGATGGTTGTTAGATAGACAGATAGGTGTTTCTATGTGCCAGGTACAAAGGAGAATTTACCTGTACTTTCTGGTCAGATTTTCATTTTCTGCCTTGTGTTTGTTCTGCACATCATTGAGCAATGTCTGGATCTGGGCAAATGCCTCAGTAAATTTACCTAATAAAAGCAGTAAAATTTGTCATTCAGCACTGCATGTGTTTCTATGTGCTCATGAAAAGAATACATCCTGCAAATGTAGGGCCTCACTAGGCTTATTTTGCAGACAGTATAACCGAAGACAAAAAAATACATTGCAAACTCAGAACACTGAATGTCTAACATGAAGGTATTAAAATCAGTAAATCAGCATTACGGAATTATGCTGTGTTGCATAAGATTTTTTTTATAACAACACTTTTCAGGGAGAGTATTACAAATAAATGACCTTTATGCTCTGGGTCTGTCAAATCCATGGCCTGTATTTCGTCTTGCTTCATTTTCACTTTGTCTAATGCGGATGAGGTAGATTGAAACTGAAATATAAAAGTTTATGGGAAACCAATCCTTGAGTACTCGGCTGATGACATAAATAAATACTCAGTGAAACTGCACTACATTTCAGCATGTGGAATAGAACCTTTTAATTATAATCAAGATATCTACTATACTTCATGAGGTAGTTCACTTGGAATACTCATTTCAACTACTCATTTCAGGGAAAAACTTCCATTATTTATGTTCATACAGACATGTCTTAAATCCATATTTGTAATGAAATTGGTACCTAAGGTAAACAATTGTTGGAACAGATTGTACAAACACCGTTACCAGGTTAAACTGTTTCCCTCTTACACTATGGATTTTACAAGCAAACATTTTCACTGTGATTAATGCAGATATCTTGAATTTAATAAACACCTTTAAACCACTGGTTCACTAAATGTATAAATTGCATAAAAAAACTGTCACGGCGGCCACCAAACGTTTATGTTTGAATAGCTAGAAATGGTCAATCTCATGTTGCTGAGCAATTATTGCCCACTTGGGTTAGGGGTTCAAATTCCATCTCCATGGTGTAGGTGGAATTGTGTTCTTTCCATCTCACAGGTTCCCTCCCACAATCCAAAGACATGCAGTCTCAGGATTAGGGAAACACCATCTCTAAATTATGGTGTACAATTTTGTGTATATTTAAAAGGTCAATTACTGTAACTCCAGCAGATCCTAAGGTTCAGTCCAGAAAGATATTTACACATAGTTAGATGTATTATTATTATTATTATTATTATTATTATTATCATTATCTTACTCAGAAGCTGATAGTTAAAGCCCAGGAAGTATTAATGCAGACCAAGATTTTGTTTCAACTAACCAGCTGTGTTTAAAGAGTCACAGTCACAGACTCAACTCAACTGGTTGGTAGAAACAAAATCTTGGTCTGGATTTTTACTTTCTGGACTTCTGAACTATCCACTTCTTAATAATAATAATTATAACAAAAATAACAACAACAACACTCAATGGTGAAGGAATCAGGACAATTTCTACATGATCCAGAATGTGTATATAAAATTAATCCTGTGTAAAGTGCATATTATATTGTTGGCACATGTGGAAATATAGCACATGGCATCATGTGGGAACCTAGAGCTGCTCCCTAACTGGGCACAAGTTCCAGTGAGACATTCTGGCCATGCATTTTATTGGGAAATGTGCAGCATGTGGAAAATAGAACCTCACCCCTCCCCAAAGGGCAGACAGATGCTTGAAAAAAACAGAACAGAGGACAAGGAGCCAGCTGAGGGGCCACGTGGAACCAGGAGGGATGTAAATGGAGCCACAGGCAAGGGGTACAGACAACAGAATCTGCAGCAGTGACAAAGCGGAGAATTTGTACAGGGGGGTGAGAGACAGTTATAACACTGCTGGGCATTAAGGAGTGGTAACAGGAGCGAGGATGGAGCTGACGAGGCGGTTGCTATGCCACCCAGAATGTCTATCAACAGAAAGAGAAAAAGGCAGGGTGTGTGTACAGGAGTCACGCATTCTCCCAGGACCTATGAGGAACCTGCCAAGACCCAAGAGAAAGTGACAGTGGCAGACCTAAAAAAAAGGAAAAGGCAAGGACAGGGACCAGTGCCAGTGCAGTGAAGAAAAGGGCAAAGTAGATCTGGGCCAGTGTTTAAAAGGTCCCCTCTCAAATACCCACTGTAAAGCCATTAAATGCCCTCTGGGGGTTGAGCTGTCATGTTCTGTTTTTTTTTTTGTGTGTATATAGGACTGTTCGTGTGTCTCTGTCTCCAGTTCATGCTACTGTACTCCCATTGACCAAGAGTCAAAAGAAAACCAGAAGGAAGTGAAGAACTGCGTGTTTTGTGTTTATGGCAGTCACAGACGCTATTGTGAATTTACCAATATGTAAAGTCTACTCACAGCATACTAAATACACACCCGTAACCTTTCTGCGTGGTGATTATCAAATGTAATAATCATGTAACACTGTGGTTGCTTTTGCATTGTTACCAGGGTTCTGCGCCATTTCTTTTATGTTTGTATCTGTTTCCAACACTCAGAAACAGACCCAAAACAACAGAACTTCACTGCATTTTGAAGTCAGTGCAAAACACCAAGAAATACCTACGTTTTTGCTACTTCTGCGCTTTTTGCTGGGTAGAACCTCAGTCAAATAGTCCATGCAGCAAGTCCTCTGAGGAGCTGATTTCCTTCTCAACTGGACTTGATGTCCTAAAATAGGCACAGAGACTATATGGCCATCAGTGGAGCTCTCAAGATGGTATACAATGATCCACTCAGTATCCATCCATTCATCTAGTCATCTTCTAACCACTTATCTTAGTCAGAGTTGCAGGGGGGGCCTGAAGCCTAGCACTCCAGTATAAATATATTCATATGCACTATAATAGACCAAAAATATTGAATGCAAAGAAAGGACAGATTAGCAAATGGTCAAAAGATCATTACTTTCTTCTTTTTTTTCAATAGGTGTCACTTACAGTTTGCCTTGTATTATTCCTCTCTAACATTAAGATAAAGAACAACAGAGGCAGACCCAGAACATGCTGGAGAGATTCTATCTCCCGACTGGCCTGGGAACGCATTGGTATCCCCCCCCCCCGGAGGAGCTGGCTGGGGAGAGGGACTCTGATTTGAAAATCTAATAAAATATATACCAGAAACACCTGCTAAAGTCTGGTGAGAATACCTATACCCCATTTGTTTAAATACCTGTGCAAGGAACTGGGTTAATGGAGTCACTTCCACTTTCCAGGTTTTCTAGGATATTGGCAGATTGGTCAGTTGGGTCACAATCTTCTTGAATGTAGATTGAATCCACGTTGGAAACATTGTCTTGTATTAATTTACCCCTTTTCTGGTCAGACCCTTTGCCAAATTTATCGTGTTGCTTCTTACTCTGCCTCTTCAAATATTTATTGCTTGCATCCTGGCTGGTACCTACAGCAAGAAATACATTTTTTGTTCTCTGCCTCAGAAAGAATAAAAATCACCCCAGAATCATTAATTGCCCAAAATGGAACTTTTAAATCTGGTTATAATCTACAGACGCTCCTCCACTTACGAGTGAGATATGTTCCGAGTGACCGTTCGAAACTTGAAATGTTCGTAAGTCGTTATTCAGCATCATTTTAAAGGTATACGCAAGTACAAAGAACTAGGATGCTGGGAGTTTGCACGCTACACTGCTGCGCGGCGGGAGTAGCAGCCAGAAGTTGCACTAGTCGGAACTGCCGCGCAGAAAAAAAATTGATGTTACGGACAGGAAGCAGGAGCCCAACGAGCACAATTTGGACTTACAGTCCTCTTCGTTCATATGTCTGAAAGTTCGTAAGTTGACAGTTCATAAGTAGAGGAGTGTCTGTATTTTCTTTACTAAAAATAATTTTACCTGAATTTAGGCTGTCATTGTTCAACTTCTCAATTTCTGTACTTTTCAAAAAGCAAGATTCTGAAACATAAGTACAATCAGAATCAAATGAACAGTTTTCGTCATCATTGTGTGTGTCATGACACATTGGCTGTGATTTACTTGAACTGCAGGAGAATTTGCACAGGAGATTTTCAGAAGTGGACATCAGTACATGAGGGCTTAAGTTGTTTTCTGATTCTAACAGTCCTTCCTTTTTGGATACAGAGCCAGAATTGTCACTCATAGCATTCTCTGAAACTTGTTCACTTATATGGAACTCAGACTGGCATGACAATGTTTGTTGGGAGAGAAGCCCCTGGCCACATTGTAAACCTGCCTTTTCAATTGCTCCCTGTGAAATATCCTCTATTGTCTGAGAGATAAGATCTACACACTCTACAACTTTCGGTGATCCCACCTGGGTGTTAGAGTCAAGTAACCAGTTAGTGATGTCACATCCATTTTCTTGTGATAATACTCTGGAGCTGCAACTTCCAGAACCCCTCAAAGCTAAAAGGGCACCACAATCATCTTCCAGTGAGTTGCAAAAATGTTCTACATTTATAGGATTTACAGGCACACAGATCGATGCATCCTTCTCAGGGTATGGAGTCTCAGGATTAGATAAGTTGGAAAGTTCACTGTCTGACAACAAACGAATCATTTCTATATGTTCCATGCACACTGTGGGTTCATATCGGTCATTATCTTGTTCCAACAATGTTTGGTTCACTTCAGTGCTGTTATTTTTGTTTTCACAGGCAATTAATGGCTCAACTGACTGATTTTTAATCTCGAAAGATTCTGAAATTCTCTCAGACAGGGCAATATCATATTGTTCACCAAAACTTGAGACTTCATGCTGTGATTCTGCAGTACTAGTTTTACATAAATCAGAAGCTGAAAATCTATCATAACTTCTGCTTTTTTCTAAAAGTAGTGATAGTGTGCTACTGTCCGAGAAGCTAGATGATCCTTTGATCGATGGTGTTGAATTGCTTGCTGTAGACAACCTTTCGCCTTCACAAGCATTCAGGCTATGCCAAGCCTTTGGAGCACATAGAAGATCTGAATCCCTTGCATAAGGACATAGCAGTGATATGCTGCACTCATCCATATTTTCATTCACATCATCTTCATGGTCACTTGTTCTGGATTCAAATGATGTTCTGATTTCACAATTTCCAACAGAATCCTTGGCAATACTGGGATTTCTTATAGGCTTAGGAGTTTGGTAGCCAAAGTTCTGCTTTATGTTCAAATCACATCTCACAGTTTCATTTTTACCATTTTTGTGTTGCTCCAAGTCAAAATTTGTTTGTAAATCATTTTGCTCTTTCATTTGATTTCTGACTCTACAGCAAGCCGTAGCTTCTTCTAAATAGGCTGTGAAAGATTCAGGACACTCTTGAGCTTTGTCTTCCGAGATTTGATGAATAAACTGTTCTCCAACATCAGCCACAAGGTTACCATCTGAGTTTCTACCATTCCCCAACAAATCTTCAGTACAAATGATTATGCTCTCATTGTTTTGTGACAGTGACAATTCTGAGTGTTCTTTTTCATTGTCCGCTGTTATGGCTGGTGTGAAATCTGAATCCTGACTATCCTCTTCAGTTCCTTCTGCAATAACTTGTCCATTTCCAGCTTTGCCGAACACAATGGCAGGTTTTGATAAAACAGCATCCTTGTCCCCAGCAGTTATTGAATCTCTACCTACGAGTAAATTCCATTGAGTTTTTGACTGAAATTTCTTAGAAAATTAGACAATTAAATAAAAAAAATTTCGCCACTTACATTTTAACACTTCTTCCACACCAAATGATTGTTGGTTTTTACTGCATGCAATCTTTTTTGGAGAAAAACTTCCAGAAGTGGAACTTGCTTTGGCATCACTGTCGAGTGCAGATTTTGCTACCTGAAACCCAAGAGTTTTCCAATTTATTTCTCAAATTTTTGGTTTAATTTAAATTCAGAATGAATATTCACCATAATTACGTAAATTCAGAACATTTATTGACATCTTAAAGCCAGTCTAATTGCAAACCATGTGGTGCAACCTGTAGTTTTTATATTGCTGCTGTTATTGTTAGTTATGCACTGAAATTGTAATTTATGCAAGGTGAAAATCTGGATTAATCAGTATCTGGCGAAATACTACTCAATTAATAAAATATGACAAACAAGCAGGGACAGAGAGGTTAGACAGTAAGCTTTTTACTTTTACTGCTCCATTCCACCATTTCAATAATGACGTTCAATGATTTGACCAACCTTGGATCCATCTTGGCAAAACCATTTCCAAAGCTCACATTGTCCTTATCAAAAACAAATTAGAAAATTAATTCAACAATATTTTAATGCCTTTGTACTAATAAATTAACTGATTTTCCCGTAATCACCATATAAGTTTGAATAAATTTTTAAAGTTTGTTTCTTTGCCTACCATTTCCTAGCAATATCCAATATACGAAACAACTAATCCTTTGTCAACACCTCAGAAGAAATTACTTCAGTTTCATACACACAGAACCCCTGAAAGCAACCTTTACCATGTTTTGGTCTTTGAGTGCTTACTTCTGATTTCTTCAAATTCAGAACACTTTGATCTTCTGTTTTGTACAAATAAAAACTTACTTTTGTAAACCTTATCATACAATGGACATACAATAAATGCAGAGGGACTGAAAAAATAATAATAAATATAGTCATTTAATATATTTTCAGACCTGGGGATGATTGACTGGCTTTGGGCTGGTATCTTTCTATCAGTTTCCTCAAGCAAGCATCCATAGTCATGTCTAAGGCTGATCTTCCGTCATCCATCCTCTGCACTGGATTTGCCCCACTGCTCAAAAGCAGCTCTACAATCTAGAAGCACATAGCAGTCTGCAATTAAGTATTCAATTACCATGTCAGTTCTACTTATTTTAAGAGTACATTAGGTAATTATGAGTACATCTACAACTACAAATCTACGTCACTACAGAAATATGTAACAAAATATATTTAGCATTATTGGTTATATTAATTCTATGTAGTAGTCTACATCCACTGCAATACTGACTTGAATTTCTTTGCTTATTTACCTTATAATTTCCTGACTCTATGGCATCATGAAGTGGAGTGACACCCTTGTCTCCAGAGAAGTTAACCACAGCCCCAGCCTCAAGCAGGGTCACGACAATGCCATAATGACTTGTAGCTGCTGCCACATGTAGTGGAGTCCAGCCTGATAACAGGCAGTTCAAGTATTACACTGAAGCAATTTTTTTTTGCATTTGTACCTGTTTTGCATGTATAATAAAGACATGCTTTATTGCAGAAATTAGCTTGCTTATTCAAATGCCACTTATGTGATAACAGTTTGTCTTGCAACTTCCCACATTTTCTATACTGTTCTAGGCATCTTTTACTTTCACAAAATACTACCATATTTACCCTAAACAAATGTCTTCATTATGGCTTCATTTTGGGCTGCCTTATTTACTCAAACTCATATTCATTGGAATCATGCAGAGCAAGACAGGTTGCCTTTGATACATCACCTGCATAGTCAGCTTTGTTTGCACAGGCACCAACTTTTAATATCTCTCTCACCAAATGTATATCTTCGTCCATCACAGCTAGATGAAGCAGGGTTTCTCCAAACCTGTTTCGTCGGTTAACTCTGCTGAGGGACAGGTTCTTCGGCGTCTTTGATCTTAACACCATATCTGTACCTTAAAAATCAAAGAAATTTAAAACAAATATGCCTTTTTATAAATGTATCCTGGGAGGTCAACAGAATTTCTAAAAGAAATTTTTGCATAAATAACAATAATCACAAGAAAGCACCAGGAAAGAGTCTGCAAGGAGCAATCTTGGCCTCCCAAGTTTAATTTAGCTAAAATCCGAATCATACTGCTGAACTTACAAATACCTCTGCCACGATCAGATTTGCCCCCCAAAAACTGTGTAGCTTGATCCAGTTCATTCACTGTGCAGCATTTTTTAATGCCGATGATCTCAGACAAAGACTTCCTTGTTGTATTGCCTGGAAAATAACCTTTCCAAACAATTGGGCCATTAACCTTGTATTTTCTTAACATGTATGGCACCATGATTAAGTAAATCAAACTTGCTAAAGACAAAACAGACAAAATGAAATAACAAAACAGCAGATGTGTAATAATCCTAACAATTCTTTTTCAGTAACTACTAGAATATGGAAAAATACTCTGATAAAATCTGACATGGTCCAAAATCACCACTCAAATCTCTTTCAGATCAGCATATATGGAGTGTTGATATTGGTGTTTTGACTGTACTGCATGCTTACCTCTGTGAGCACAGTCTTGGTTCACAGTCTTTGGTCTTTCACCGCATGCAGTTATTTGCTGTGACATGCCAAAGACTGCAGCATATGTACTCCTGGGAAGCAGAAAACATTTAGAGATGACAATGACTCTATGCTGCTGGGCAAACACAAGAATTACAGAAATCATTCTGTTCTGATCTGTCACCAACAAAGTCACAGTATGTCTACAACAAATGCATCAAAACAATACTTCTGTGCAACAAGCACCCCTTTTCAGAAAGGTTTATTATGTAATAACAGATTTTTAAATTTATAGCAAGGATCTTAAAATGAGTTATCTGTTCCCCGACGACAATTTGGCCTCTGCTGTCACTACTACATATAAAAAGAAAGTTTAGTCAGTGGATTGTAAAGTATGTGGTCTGCAGTGCATTTTGTGTACACAACATTTTTGCATACCTCTCCCCTGATGGCCCCCTGTTGCTCAGCCTTGTAGTACGTCGCACCACCACTGGGGCTAAAGCACCATCATGACTCAACATACCCACACTGTAATCTTCCTGGGAAGCGGAATTTATACTTTACTGTTGCACCATGCAATAGCTTTTTGGGCAGCACTTTACTTGAGTGGTTATAAATAATGTAGTAGTACCCTCTCCCTTTAGTTTAATGTAATAATAACCCAGAAAGTGTTAGTTACGTACTGATCCCATGTAAATCATTAATAAGTCATAATGGTTCATATATTTCATGCAGTTATTATATTAGTTCATGATTTGTACTTGAGTACTAACTGAGTTACTAAGGTACTTGTGCCCCCTCAAGTAAAGTGTTTTCAACTTTTGCATTCAGTTGCCATCTATTGCATCATTGGGACAGCTGCCTTAGGTGTTGCCAGAACCTGAGTCTGAGCGGCACGACTGCCTGTTGAAACAGATATGCCTAAGCATTGCCATAGCGATGAAGGAGCATTCTGGGTAGTGAGGGTACAATCAATGCGGGGATCATTTAAAGGACAACAGTCAATAGCAACAAAAATGCCCTTAGGGTCTGTTTACCATATGCATCATTTATCATCCATCTATCCATCTTTTTGTTAATTCATATTCAAATAACAGCTGAAATTAAAATGGTGCACAAGACACTCTGGAAGATGCTCTGGTTGCCAATTCCTGTTTCTGACCTGTGGACCTACCTCTGTTTTCTGTGGTACTGCTTCTTTCTTCATTTCCATCTGAGCCTGCAGATCTGCAATTTCCAATAAAACTAAATAAAACAACCTGAAAACTCTGTTTAAAGCTATTAAACAACTTAATATTTTAAAAGATGTATAATGTGACCTCTATTGACTCAAAGATTGTTTTCTTTGAAGCTCCCAAAACTATGCCCAAAAGTCGTGAGGTAACCGAAGATTAGAGGTGAAAATCTGAGCCTGCTATATACAAAGGGACACTTGGGACTTAGAACGGAGGCAATCGTTCGTACAAAAGGGGCCCAGCACACCCCATGCACGCCCCTGCTCATAAATACTTACGTTGATAGACTGTTTGATTGTTTTGCTAAAGAAAGAACTTCCGTCAATTAGCCGCTCTTTGCTACGGCAAACGCGTTATACATATAATGTTGTGTCAACTAATGACTCAGTTCTGCCAGAAACTGTTACCTTTCCTGGACTGTGATAGGCTGTCGGTAATCAATTAAGACAAGAGAAAGTGGAACTGGTAAGTCTGAAATCTGAATTGCAAACATTGCGGGAGTCTCCTGCATCTAGATAGACTCCCGGAAGTCCCCAGGAGCTAAGATGTCTCGAACACAGTCTTGTCTGTCTGTTAAATTACATGTAATATCTGATGTCAATTCTGTCGATTCCTGCGTTGGTCTTCCATGCGTGGCGGCGCTGCACTGGAATTACTACATTTACGCATCCACCAGAACCTGATCAATGAGTGGGTGTGGCATTTTATGAATAATAATAATAATACGAAGAAGAAGAAGAAGAAGAAGAAGAAGAAACGGCGTTTTATTCAGTATGTCGGAGCTCAGCTTTTTTTCTTTTTGTGATCTGTTGTTCTTGAAGGGGTCTGTATGAGAAGCATAAAGATGTTACCTGTGTCCCTCTGCTCTGTGATTTTTGTTGTTTGCTCTGATTAGGCTCTTAAACGTTTTGCGTGATTCTTATATTATTATTGTGCCTGTATGAAAAGTCACTGACGGTATTAACTCTCTGCAGTAGTAATAGTAGGATGTTTTTCGCAATAACCCTGTTATTGATCGCTCTGCAGCGCAATTATATGTTTGCGCGTGCATGTGACTTGGGAAGTTGTAGTAACTTTAACCGGATTTAATGGTTAAGTTCCTATTATAGTGCAGTCTCTTGCTTGCCTACATACATATTTTTATTAATATCTTCAGGTATAATATAAATACCTGATAATTTAAATATTTATTTAAAAAAACTTAACTAGGGCTACTCACCTGTCCATGTACAGATTTTCATTGGCTTGGTTTTCTGGATCCGAATCTCATACTACAGAACTTCCTTCGAAGTCTGAAAAATTCCCACTCTCCGTCGCTTAAAGAAATAAGCTTTCAACTATAGTTTTGACTAATCTAGTACTTTAACGTCCCCATCACCGCTCTCTTCGCTTAACTGATTAATAAAAATCGGACAAACGAGAGGCGAACTACGCCAGTGGCGCGAAAAGCTCGCGAGCTCCTCGAGCTGATTTCTGATTGGTTCCTTTTTGCCTATAAACCCCCTCTCCCTGCAGTCTTAAACTTGAAGCGTTTTATTTGTTTATGAGCCTTTTTGATGCAGAACTGTCCATTTTATGGATGTAAGTCAGTGTATCCTTTGTATTTTACTTTCTTTTATATTCCTTCAGTTATTTTAATAAGGTGGACTCGAGGGATGCAGTTCCGAAGTGTTCGTTTTTCTAGATATATTTCTATTTTTGACAAATGTATTTTTATTAAACGCGTTTTAAAAAAGTTATTTTTGGCTCCTTGTTCAATGATGAAAAAAAACCCACTGAAGATCTATGGAAAGGTACTAGCACGGAGCAGGGATGGATCTATGATGCAAGATATGCACCTTTTCCTGGGGGATGTCCTCTAAAAATAACATTTATTACCCCATTCCCATTTTAAACTGCAAGATGTTTGGGCAGTCAGGCACCATGATGAAAAGAGATGATGAGTAAAACTGGCTGTACATCTTATGGACATGGTGAACATTAAAGAGAAATAAAGTAACATTAACATAATGTTAAATTTAATTTAATTCGGATGACTGCAAGACAACTGTCAAACAGGCCAGTAATAACCTGATACTCCCTATGGTTCAGTGACTCCATGCGATCCTTCAAATGAAAATGCCACAGACCATCAAATTACAAGTCCTCAGGTCGGCTTGGTTAACTGTCATACTATAAAAAGCCTTATATATCACCTGCTGTGCCTCTTATTCTAGCCTAAACAAAATTGAAAATAACACTCATTTTATTTTCAAGCTATAACTTGACCAACAAACAAGAAATCAGTTTCATAAAGAGTAGTCACACTTCCCATCCGTAGTAATGACCTATGATATTCAATAATAAAATCCAAGATGCAAGATTTCAGGTGAATAATACAGCTATAAATGTAGTTATAATGACAAATTATTGTTGATCAACAGACCTTTCCCAAGCACTGCCTTTGCAACTTTTGTTTCTTTAGTGAAAAAAGTTATAAATTATGAAATTATGAAAATGCACTACCTGTCTTATGAATCCTATTCCCATAAAATGGCTTAAGGAATCTTTGCTCTCTTGAATCTTACCTTAATAAATGCTGTTCTAAGATACTTTGAAGTGGCTGTAATCAAACTACTAATAAAAATAAACAAACACTTACAAAAACCAGTGTCATACCTACCCTTCCTTCCAAAAGTCCCAGAACAAATCCTCACAACTAAAAACATATTCGGACAGACTCTGTATGAACTGGGTAAGTAAATGATGAGTCAACATTGTGTTGAAGGAAACATAACAAATATTGTATATTGCTAGACCTAATGGTAGCCTTTGATACGATTGACTGCACAATTGTGCAGAAAAGTCTCCAGCCTTTTGTAAGGCTTTATGGACTTGGGCTGAAATTAGATGGATGGATGGATAGAGAGATAGATACTTTATTGATCCCAAAGGAAAAACACAATGATAATAATACAATCGTTTATCTCTTACCTAGAAACCGTGAGCAGCATGCCCAGAATTTTGACATCTGTGACTCATTCACAAAAATAATTACATTTTGAGTTCTATAGGACTCAGTATAAAGACTCTCTTTGCATGTGCTTCCACTATAGGATAGGAAAAAATTAAACAGACTTTCACTATTATGCCAATAACACTAAATTCTGTTTTCAAACCGAATAGTATTAGGCTTAGCGCTTTACTGCATTGTATCACTGAACTGAGATACAGATGAATAAGATCTACCTTTTTAAAAAACAGACAATGATTTATTAATGCTAAACTCACATGGGCTGAATTTCACAATCGTTGATTCAATATACAACCAGGCCATAGCTAGGATGGGCAACAGAAAACTGACGCAGACTGCAGGCACAGAACCAGACCAACTGAACATTACCTGCATACCTAGTTACCTGCTGATATTTGGACATGTATGGGTAACATGCCCTGGACGGGTGCACTGGCAGTATCCCATACTATCCCAACTTAAAGCTTTTTTCTTATTCCTCCTCTGTTGTCCTCTGGCTGTCTAAACAGACTACTGTGTATTGTACATGTATATGTAGATAGTCTGGAAGCCATGTTAGGAAAGACATTCTATAAAATTAATTTAACTAGAAGAAAAATCACATAAGATATTGTTACAAGGTGGTGGTCATAAAAATTAAAAATCAAAAACACCCCAAAAATATGGACAGAACATGTAAACTTCATAGACACTGAGCCTGGGCTGTGTATGAAATACACAAGCCTCAAAGTTTACCTGATTATTAGTAAGCAACAATGCTGACCTGCCTTTCTATGTAAAGTATCAGTAATGGTGCCAATACATCAGTGCTTATAACAATCAGTACAAGGAGTAAAATTGAGGATTAATCAATAACAATGTGATTTGCTTTTTTTTTTTTTAAATAAAAAAAAAGCAAACTAATTATTATTTATTTAAATGTGTCAGTACAATCGATACAATATGAAATAGTCTATGTCCAGACAATTTTGAGTGAATGTTTCCTCCTGCTGGTATTCCATTGTAACTGCTCAATAATGTCAGCACTCACAGCCCAGCAACCACTTAGATCTAGTGTAGACAAGCAGCTGTCCAAGGTCACTAGTCGGGTTGCAGTTTCCATGGAAACATCACAATACGCCAGACTCAAATATCGCAACTGACACAGTGGTGGAATTCTGTCAGTCGCTGGAGGTAAATGATGAGTTTCCAAAAGCATTTGGAATACAGAATTTATAGAGCATGGAATGGCAAACAGCGTAACTTTTTCAAGAAGAGGAGATCCTCTTAGCAGGCCCAGCAGTACCCATTTCAGGGACCTCCAACACATCAAAGGCTTCTTTTTACTATGATCAATGAAGAACCTATGAATCAAAGAGAACAATCAGTATAAAGCGCAATTCAATTTATTCCCATTATAGGCAGCCTGAAGTATTAGTCAAAGATTTGACATTTGTAATGTTGCTTCTCTCTTTTTAATTCTTTTTTGTTCCCATTCTGGGTCAATCTTGTTTTACATGACGTCCACATATATAAACATAAAACTAGTTTATCAGATTCAGTGCGGTTTTAGAGTGCATAGAATATACTTTCTGTACAACATTAAAATAAATAAAATGTATAAATATTTTATATATAAGTAAAAATAGATATACAGTACTACTCCAACAGCAATGCAGTGAATGAATACTCACTTGACAGACAGAAAACGGAGTTGGGACAGGCAGGGCAGAGCCTGAATACCCTGCTCTTCATCTTCTTCATCTTCTTCTTCGTCCTCATTTAGAATGGGAGACTCTGTGTGTATTGCCAGTGTCCTTAGCTTGGTGCACAAGCAGAGTAGTTGTAGGAAAGAAGCATCATCACTGATCTTGACACCTTCTAAATGTAGATGGTGTAACGTGGCACCCACAGTTTGTATGGCAGGTAGAATTTCAGTCAAAATCCCTGCAAAATGCAGACTAAGGCTGAGCAACTCATGTGTCCATCGCTCCAATGCAACTGCTAACTGTCCAAGTTCACTATTGTCACAGTCCAGGGAGAGAGCACACAAATCTGGACAAAGTCTCCCCAATGCCCTCATATTCCTGCAGGATATTCCCTGAGCTTCCCTCAAAGGAAGGGTCAAGTGGTCTTGTAAGACACTCTTTGCATACCTGGTTTGTCCTTCAGTCCTGCCTATGTCCTTCACTTCTTCTTGCCTATCACAGTGAAGCAAAATCTTCTCTTGTACCTTCACTTTTCCACCGTCAGCCTCTTCATGCTCTGATCCATTTTCACTCTCATCATCGCCATCAGGTTCCTCACTTTCTGACAGCCATCTTTCCATTCCTTCATCTAACAATCCTTCATTTTTTGTTTCTTTCTCTTCTGTTAACTTTCCTTGTATTTGTATCCGTTCATCCCATAATTCTTTAAGGTTAGGCATTCCATTAAGGGAACAGAAAGCTTCCAAATCTGCAAAATCCTGGCTTTCTATTACATCAAAAGCATCACCCAGGCCATCTAGCGCAGTTTTTACCAAGCAGGGCAATGTAAGCAGGAGAAACACTGCCACCGCCACTCGTTCATCATCCCCCTTTGCAAAGCCTATGTCTGAAGCCACAAGGCTCCGTAGAGGCAAGCGAGTGTGAGAAGCTGGTGGGTGCACCAAAGACAGCAAGCCAATGGGGGTGAGCTGATAGCAACCCGATACATCCAGCTGCCGCAGTTCTCTGCAGTTGCTACCCACAATCTGCAACACAGAACCATCACACTGAGTACCTGCCAGGCAGAGAGAATGAAGCCTGGTAAGATGCCCCAGCAGCTCACTCAGGACCAGGGCAGAGAGGTGCTGAGCACCTGACAGATCCAGTGAGAGTAGAGCCTGAGAGAGAGATCAAACATTGCAAATCACGTAACACATCATTTAGAATTTAGTGATCAGTGGTCATTGTTGACAAACCACAGCACACAACAACAAAATGTGTTCTCTGCATTTAACCCATATGTGACGTCATGACAAAGCAGGGAGCAGCTAATTCAGCACCTGAGGAGCAGTACCTTGTTCAGGGTACCTCAGTGGTGCCTTGCTGGTCAGGGATTCAAATCTGCAATCTTTCAATTACAAGTGCGTTTCCCTAACCATTAAGCCACCACTGCCCATGATAAATGCATCATTACTTAAGCAATAACATATGGAAAGGTTACAAACAGGTTACAATGAGGCTGCATTCCCTTTTGGACATTTGACACAATAATCACCAAAACTGCCCGAGAGAGAAAGACTACTGCTTGCATGTTGAATTTTCTTGACATACTGGACCTGACCTGGCAGCGAATTCCAATCAGCTGGCAGATGTGTGGGGTAACCAGGCTAGAACAGGCAGACAGTGAGAGCGACTTCACTTGTGGCACTAGCAGGAGGTGCAGGGCAGGACGCGTCATCAAACGATGAGAGGAAAGTAGAAAGAGTAGCTCCTCTACAAGATGCCCTGCTGTTGGGACAGAATGCAAGGGATGAAAAAATATCAGGCAACAAATTTACTCATTTTAAAACACAAATGCAACCATTCACATTCTGTTCACCAAAGGTTTGAAATTAAACCATAAATACTCAACGCAGGATGTTGAATGGTCCTATGATGTAACGGAAGGAGTACTGGTCCATGTACATCTTGGCATAGTCTTTGGTCCAGACATCTTTCATGTTTTCAACCAGACTCCATAGACACAAACGAATGAGAGAGCTGCAGTCTCCATCATTTTCTCTCTTGCCTTGTTGACTTTTCCTCTTCGTCTTTGCCCCCTTTTTAACCAAGCAAGCCTCAGGTCTTCTGAAAAGAGGCATCTCAATCTCCTCCTGTTACAATAAAATAAAAACAAAACTCAATTATCCATACATTTTCTTACCTCTTACCCTGGTTAAGGGCTGCCGGGCTTTCTTTCAAAATATTACTATAAGTCTTATAAAACAAAACCATTTCTTAAAAATGTTTTCTTACGATTACATCATCGTAAACAGGGACCGCGTCATAGAAGGAAGTGCTGGGGGGGATTTGCAGATCCCCCTCGCCCACTAGTTTATTTGTTCAGGGGCGGCACTGATCGTGAAATATTTCTAAGTATTTGACTGTCTTTCTTGCGCTACCTTTCAATCAAACAGTAACTTTCATTCCTCGGTACCCGTCCCCCAAATATGTGGGTATTAAAACACGTAATTACCGAATTTGTTGATTATTTTTTTAAAAAAAGACGCTCCAGGTGAATTTCCACACCGAGGTAATTCACTGCCGTCTTCCGCCTTCCGGAAAAGGAGTATAAATTATGTACTCGTCACAAACAGGGATCGTCGGCTGGTCCGTACATAGACAGAAGTGTCCGTGGCAAGACTAGTCTGCGTTTTATATACCATATCCTTGATTTTACAGAAAGAAATTAAATATTTGAGTGTAAATGAGGGAAATAGTTGCCTATTTTAACTTCCGAAATCAATGTGAACTTTAAGAGTAATTTGCACATTTAAGAGTAATTTTGTCGATCGGTGAGAAAACAGTTGACATTTAATCTTGTTTTAGGGCTATATAAATACAATTAAACCCCCTATTTTGTTCCAGTAGAAAAACACGCATCCATGATAACGTGTCTTTTTTAAGCACAGTAGCTTGAAAGTATTGTTCCTCCTTTATTGCAGCGTGAAAATGCTAAATAATATTGAAAATAATATCCATGTTTCCATAATGGTTATTTTCTCATGGCACGTCTGTGTGTAGATTAAATCGATAGAAAATAAAATTTAATGTAACTTAGAGGGTTAAACTTCCAGGATAGTTGGATATATGCTTCGCGGAAGCATTTAACTCTCGCGATAGTGAGACAAGCGCGATTTGTAGGATTTATGGTGAGAAGAACTATGACATATGACATGCAAAAAAAAAAAAAATCAGATTTTTTCTCAAGAATTTGGTTGGCTAATAGCAGAATATTTGGCACCTTTCAAGAAGTGTAAAATGATTACACCCGGGAATCAAAATAAACAAAAATAGCGTTTTAAAGGCATATAGTATCAATCTCCACAAAAAGCCAAGACCAGGATTCAAACCCCAAATCCTAAAAGTTCATTAACCATTGCGTCACCTGTAAAATCCGATTGCAAAGTAATTAAATATTTGACTATGTGGTGATGTACATTTCTGACTTCTCAAGGTGTCTTTTGGTGTGAAATAGAAAACCACTACCAATGCATGGTTGAGGAGGATTTATAAAGTAAAATAAGACCTTTTAAAGTGTGCTTCTGCAAGTTCTATCAATGCTAAAACACGGCATTTGTCTGTTTACTCTCAATAGCATTTTTATGATATGGTAGCAGGTACAAAGATGATGTTGAGTCATCGTCAGTCAGTCAAAAGTATTTGAATACTGGGTCATAGTTATGGTTTTGAACATCTGGCTTACTGGTCAAATACCTGGACTACAGTAAGGCATGTAGCCTATTGATTTTAACAGAACAATGGAACAGGTGACTTGTGTTGTATTTAAAACATTTAGATACATCCATAAAAAATGACATTTGACAAAAATGACTAATCCAAAGAATGAACAGAAGGAAGCAGATACAACAAAGCAAGCTGAAACTTCAGCCCATATGAATAAGAACTGAAATCATTAGGAAGACTCTGCGTGGAACTTAACCAGTCAAGGATAAAAAGGAACGTGTGTGAAACAGCCGAGGTTTGGAAAGAAACAGAGCAGGTAAAGACAGAAAAAAACCCTTTGTTGGGGCTTCTCTATGAATAACTAAAAGCAGTAAGGACACTTTGTATGTATAAAGGTACAGAATAATTTTCAAAAGGCTATTTTGTGTAGCAATAATATCCTTTCTTCAAATTCAGTGTAAACATGCCTGATTAATATTTTGAAAATTAGAATAATCTTAAAAACAAGGTTACACATTAACTGCTTATGACAACTTACACACTGACTTCAGAACTTTTATTTGGTGTATAATATGGACTAAAATGAAGTAACAGTTGGGATGGTACTTGTGTGGGTCAATCAAGAACATCATGGTGTTGGTCAAGAACCGTGAACCAACCCTGAAATATTAAATGAAAATACAAAAATTCTTCTAAAAAGTTCACATTAAAATTAACTTAAGGACAATTTAAAATGCCCCCCAATTAAAGTTCTCTCTTAAGTTTTCTTTTTTCTTTTCTATAATGCATCATCTTCCTACAACTTGTAAACAAAAATCCTTCAAATGCAGAAATCACATTTCTACTATTACATATACAGTATATAAATACATAAATATCTTACACGTATAACAACCAGGAGATTGAGAAAAAAGAAAAAGTAAAAGGAGAACTGGGGGAAGCAAATTGGTAGTGTGTGTGTGGGTGCGCTTGTGTATGTGTATCTGTTTAGCTTCACACCAGTCAGACTGTGCTTCCTGGGAAAGGGTCAGCACACGAGAGGTAGGGTGAGAGCACAGGGAGGGAAGCTCTTTGCACCCCTTAATTAGTTGCCCCAGTAAGCAGAGCTGCCGTAGGTTGACTTGTTGGCTGGGGTCTTCTGCTGTATGCTGCTTGACTGACTGCGTTGGCTAGAGCTGCCCTGTAGGGGGAGCCCACATTCCAATAAGACACGAACTTCCACACAAAGCATTAGCAAGTATTAAAGAACATGATCTGCTGATTTAAGCTCATCTCCCACACTCGCCTTTATTAATAAGCCATACAATATGATCTACATTAAGCATTAATCTGCTTACATTTAGCATTAATCATTATTACCATTAATTATTCCAACATTTGGGTGAACAAGTCTAGTCCAGCAGGGGGGGCAATTCTTTAAACCATTAGAGGTTCTTTAGTGTGTACCTGACTTATGCTGGTTAGTTCTTACTGAACACATAAGCGTAACAGGCACTGCCCCACTGATGCTGATTAGCATGCTTACAGCATGCAGCACTGCCGCTCACCTGACTGTCCTGCGCGTGGTGGTGATGCAGCAGTTGGGAGTGGGGCTGCTGATGTGCCGGTAGGATATGAAGGAAAGGGGCGGGGGCATAACCAGGGCCACTCCCTGGATTCAAGGGGCCCGCTCCCCCTAGTGCTGAGGGCAGGTTGAAAGGTGGGGGTGTCCCAGTGTGAAAACCTTGCTTGTCGAAGGACTAGAAGGTAAGGGGATGGCAAATGAGCAGAGACATATATTCAGTCACAAGTTGTGAAACATCCTAGCAGCTTCCAGAAGGCTGCTTTTGAAATGATGCATCTCACCTGGGCTTTATTGTAAACTGTGGCACTCAAGTCTGGTCCTACTGCATTGTTAGATGAGACCGATATACCTGTTACAAACAGAATACCTCATGTCAGCTTCAACTGGAAGTTCCCTGAAAAAGCAATTTGTTTTTAATTGTGCTTCTGCACGCTAAGACAAAATCCACTTCAATTATGTGTTGGATTCCAAAGGCTGACGCAGCTTTACAGACTGTCACCTTTCCCAGGTCCAGTAGCAGCTGATTTGGCCTGTGTTTGGGTGGAGCTGCCATAGGCCCCTTTGCCGTATTCTCCACCCGTCGGGCCTTGTGTCAGATCATCAAACCCTACAAAAAAAAGGCATGAAAAATTACACACTAATTTGATCTCTTTAAGAATTCCCTTCAGTCTATTAGTTATTCATTTTGGAAAAGACCGACTCGAAATGCAGGTGGAGTTAAGGAATTCCATAGATCAGGGATAGGCAATCCTGGACTGCAAGAATCCAGCATGTTTTCCATCCCACCAGATTAGTTATCTGACTGAGATCAGATGTATACCAGCATAAACCTTGGGTAAAATGTCAGTCAAGCAGACGAATAACAAGAACGGGAAGACAAACCTGAACCATAGGCATGCTGCCCATAACCGCTGGCCTGCTGGAACTGGGTGGAAGGATTGTTGAGGCCAACGCCGTGCTGCTTGGCTGAGGCAGGCGACACGAACATGGGTCCGTACTGGAACGGGCTGGGCATCCCCGGCAACCCGGGATAGTAGGGCAGACCCGTGTAGCCGTAGCCCGGCGGTAAGGCGGGGTTCAGGAAGGCCTGCTGGCCGCTGTGGTGGCCTGGCGGCTGCTGCTGGGCTTGGCTCTGGAGGGGCTGCTGGGCTTGTGGAGGGGGAGGTGCAGACAGGCTGGTAGAAGGGGCAGGGGAGGCAGAATCACCCCTGCCAAACTTTGTCATTTCACCTGTGAGGCAGGAGAAAGGAGGAGTTTAATGGGAGCAGTTACGGAAATGCTGTGCGAAGAGGCCAGGTGACACAGCCCTACCTGAGTAAGGGCTGTTGGACAGACTCCCATCTCTGCCAGTGAGTGATGCTGCAGGGCCTGGAAATGTGACCCCATAGTAATCCTGCAAAGAGAGTAGCACAAAGAGGATGAGGAACACCAATGTATGCTTTCAGAGAAACCACCAAAGGGAGGGAAAAGTCAATCTTCTCTCACCATGGGCAGTCGGGACTGCAGCATCTGGAGCTCTTCATACCCGTAGATCTGCTTTGGTACACAAAACAGTGTCACTAAAGCACCAACCAAACTGTACTACACTCAGCATGCAGGTTGACGGCACAGGGATAGAGAGGGCGGATGGGTTACCGGGTATGCAGGAAGAAGACCCCCTGGCCCCATGATGTACTGGCTTGGCAGTAAAGGAGGCACGCCCTGGGCAAGATTGGGCGGAGCTTTGCCTGTGGGACAAGAGGTGGGGGGGTGTCAGTATTTACTGGAGAATGAGGGGTATGAGAGAATCTGTTAAAGCGAAAGCTGTATTGGTTTCCTCACAGAGCTACAGATACATTCAGCGCAGAGAAGTCTGCACACAAGCGTACATCTCACCAGAGGACGACTGTAACAGGGGCGTGCTGCGGCACCCAGGAAGGGTAGCTGCCCCATTGCTACTCATCCCCAGCGTGCTGCCCGTCACTGCGGTCCCATGCACAGCGCTGGCCACACTGACCGCACTCGCGCTGAGCGGAGCTGGCGCTGAGGACAGGACACAGACCGAGGCGCTGTGGGAGTTCACACTGGTATTCTGAAAGACAAAGAATCAGGGTTTCTCCTGTGAAGGTCTTCGGGAAATCCAGAAGCTGCACTGAATCACAAGCAATTAAATGCATTGAATTCAACACCAATTCTTATGTAAAATACACAAAAATTCCTCGCAAAGTTACCTATACCAATACATCACACATCTGTATACAGAAGAAAATGGAGGATATCCAAGAAGAGGTCAGGCATGCTCACCGTGAAAGAGGGACTGGATGCAAGGGTACAACTGGAGAGCAGGCTAGTCACCTGACTGCAGGACAGAGGGCAGATGACAGAAGAGAATGATTGATGGTATGACTATACAGCCATATCCAGTAACACTTTAGTCAATCCATGATCACCAACAAAGGGACTTATCACCAAGTGCCGTCCAGGCAGGCATACTGACTGAGGAAGTACGCATGAACGGCTCATTATAAAGCGACGCTCACCTGCTCAGTGTGGGGAGTTCAGAGCTAAGGCTTGGTGTGGATGAGGGGAGCAGGACAGGAGGCCGAGCTGAACTGCTCACACTGCTCTGAGGACAGTCTGGCTTTGCAGAAGAAGCAACTGCAGCTACAGTGCCGAAAAAGGTCATTTTAAAGGGTATCAGCAAAAAGCAAAGAATTTCTGTAGGCCTGGATGATTAATTTTTTTCAACCTACTTTCAAGTGCAGTTGAAGTCCTGACACAGTCAAAGCTATTCTGTAACAAAAAAAAAGTTGATACACTTAAATTGAATACAATGAAACACACACATTTCAAAACAAGCACAAATATAACAGTTTATTAACAAGGCTGTCAGACTGTGACTTATGAGAAGAGGATAAGCTGAACGTGTTAGATCAGCAGTATCAACACATGATAGCAGAATTTACCGTGACAGAGGAGGTTGTGGGTTCCTTGCCCTGCGAGAAGGTAAGGTGTGGATGAGGGGGCCCATTTGTATCAAAAGTACTGCTTGACGAAGAAGAATGGGGTGCTGCAGAAATGGTTTGCGACAGGGGCAGGGAAGAGGGCAACGTGGAAAGAGAGGCAGACGGCGAGGAGTAACTCGAGTCAGATGTTGACATTGGTAGAGACTGAGGGCTCCCAAGAGGTTCACTGTGAGGTGATCAGAGGAGAAAAGAGCACGATTCAAACAAAGCTGAATCTTTCAGTCAAATGGCCATTTTAACTTACTGAGAAAGGAACACAAAGAACACTAAAGCATCTAAATACTAACCAAACTGCACCTGACCTGGGAGACTTGGAATAGTGGCTATTTAAAGGCTGAGATACTGGCACTGGATCCCTGTTGGTTGAAGTAATGCCACTGCTCCCATTGTCTGGATGGCTGAAATCAGGCAAGGATGCTTCCGGCCCGAAGTCCAGAGCCCCAAACTGCACATTTAACCCAGAGACATCAGCAGAACCAGGCATCTCTACTGCTGACAAAGGAATCTGAAACAAAAACACGAGGAAGGCACATTTCCAATTTAAAATCCATAAAGCCCAGAAACAAAATATTTGACATAACTGCAGAACCTAAGCTCTTCAACCTATGCCAGTCATTCAAGGATGTTACATACAGCAGTTCTAAATGAGCCTGACCCAATGCACCTGCTTACAGGGCATTTGTTACATTGAGAAATTCGTACAAGTTGTGTTCAGCTGAACATCCAAGAGTTTTGCACTAACAGTTTACCAAAATTATTCAATATCAGTTCAATTTGTTAATAAGCAAACTTAGTATATTACCCCAAAACACTTAGATGCCAAAGAAATTAAAATTAGGCGTCAAGGGTTTTTGGACAAGCATGCTTTTCCAAACACTATTCTAGGGATTTAACTCCTGATGGTATAAGCCATTACTTAAAGCTTCACACCAGCTTAAAGTGATACTCCAAAGCCTTGTAACATTTACTGTTTTACCCGAATATTACATGACCCTGAATAACATTACCTCCCCCCCACAACCACACTGCATTACAAGTGTATTAAGCAACAAATATTCTAATAATTAATTATTTTACCCAAACCGGCTTTCCTTCCAGTCAGTCTAGCTAGGAGGCAGATAATTTACGCCAGATTGTACACATTGTATATGTACAATCACATTTAAATTCTAGTTCTCGAATACAAGATGAGCCCAGTTGTTTTAGATGTAATATACAGCAAGTGTATGGCCGTGTGCAGCTGAACAAACCAAAGCCGTTAAACAAAATGGATACAAATGCATCTCAACGGCCAACGCATATCCTAAAGACACCCAACACACCTGTCTGACTGCAACATTACCTTTGAAGTTGGAGGTATTTTGCGTTTCTGGGTTTTAAGTTTGTGCTGCATGATGGCTTCCTGGGGAGGGGGCAAGCCAGCTGGGAGAGACAGTTTGGCAACTGGCGAGGGTCCGTTCTGGGTTGAAGAGGCATCCTGAGGTTTGGAAAAGGACTCGAAGCTTGGAGCTGAGGTAGCAGGAGCTGTGGGTGGGGTAGCTGGTTGAACCCGGGGCAGAGAGTTCGACTGCCTTTGGGCCAGTTGGCTCAGGACCCGGGAAGGCTCTGGCTGCACCTTATAATCCCCTAGGTGAAGTGACACATTCAGACAGACCCATTAGCCACAGAATCATTCAACACAAGTAAATTCACCGAACACTCTGAATAACATACTGTTTCACAGAAAACCTGACACTTTCAAATAAGCAAGAGAGGCATATCAGGTCCACAAACCTTTCACAGAAACATTATGCTCTGTAAAAGACAATAAACGTATAAAACTAATTCTTATATGAATTCTTATAGTGCATTTGGCTGAATTCTACAGTATGTATACAATGCAAACTAAAGTGAAATGCCACTTATTTTTGGGATTGTTTAGATCGCTTTACAAAGATCATCTGTTATCTGTGCTGGTTTATCTGTGGTCAGTGATCTGGCTCTGATGAATGTGTCTTATTACATGGGCACAAAGAGCAAGCACTGTCTTTCAGAACAAATGTGAAGCTGAATTAGCCCTTGGACCATAGAATTCATTTACTCACTACCAAAAGGAGAAGACAGCACAGTGGTATTCTGTGAAACCGGCGGCTTGGCCTCCCAAGATGAAGTGGGGACAGGGTTCTCAACCTCCAATGCCCCAGACACTCCCACAGATCCACTGCTGCCCCCAGAGACGGCCTGTTCTGCAGCCAGCTGTCCGATCCCTGGGCCCTTTTGCTGCTCTAGAATTTGGGCTGACAGCGGCAGCTTGGAGCTGCCCAAGTTTCCAAAGCCTGAACCGAGGACTGAGGACTGTGTGGAGGTGGGAAAGATCATAAAATATTCAGAAATCAAGTTTTTAAATTGCAGCTATATAAACAAAAAGTTACTAACTTTTTTTTTTTTTTTTTTTACTAACTTCGAGACTAATAAACAAGCTAAAACAAACTTCATAGAACTGCCCCAATAAGAACCTACAAGTTTGATTACAAATTGTGTTTTACCATATGACTCCATGCAAACATCACATAACCCAAACACTCAGCATGTAATAAAACCTGCCTGTGCATGATTGACCATGTTAGGCTAGTTCAGTGGTTCCCAAACTGGGGGGCGCAGAGGTATTGCGGAGGGGCGCAGAAATGGCCTCAGGGGCATGTGCCACCTTAAAATGATCTCTTCACAGACTGGACGATTAAACAAATAAAGCAGTGCAACATTACAGTAACTAACAATAAATAAATCACTAACTTACATGTACTATTAAAGCATTTATGTAATTTATTTAAACTTTATTTTACCAGGTAAATTAACTGAAAACCAGTTCTCACTGCTTTACGTGATATTCGGGAGAAATAGCAGATAACGCATCGGAACTTCCTGGGATACAAACGTCATACAAACGTCACGGTCTTCAGCCAATAAGGGCAAAGTTGTGTCGTCACGGAGGCTGTTCCAGTCTGTTCAGCCGGCTGAGAGGTGCTGTACGATCTGTCTTAAGTCGTCTTGCTCTTGCAAGGTTTTCGTAACATTTGACATGGTAATGCGTGACGTTTTGCAGCGCCGGACAAAAAAATCTAACCATATCATGAAAAACGAGGTTTAAAAATTTCTACATGAAGTGCAGGGATAATGGGTTATGGGTAAGATTTAGTGTTGTTTTGTGCTATAGTATAGGCTGAAACCTGCGGTTATCATTAAAGACAAAATGCGGTAATCGTAAGACAAACTTTAATTTGTGTACGCCAATGAATATTAACAGGAATGTTAAATCTGCATTTGCATAATTTCAAACTTATGCTGGACTTTTATTTTTAATAGCTCGCTCTTTTTTCTCCCAGTGGTGAAATTGCACCATTTGTATTTTGTAATTGCATTTGTTTCACTCAATAATGTTCCTATATAGAAAAGGGGGGCCCTGCAGAGAAAGTTTGGGAACCACTGGGCTAGTTTATTCATGCATTATTTACTGTAGATGTTCCTTTCCATGACTCACCAGGGTGGCGTGTGCATAGCTGGTTGGATTGGTGTGAGGGTGGTGGGAATTGGTGAACACCAGGCTATGGGCAAGGCTTTGGGAGGACGGCTCCACGCATCCCATATCCTCAGACTCTCTTCCATCCACAGGTTTCAGCAGGAGGCTCTCTGCATCCACACTGCATGCACACAAAATGCCAAAATCATTACTGCAAAACAGACCCACTTAGATGTACAGTTGAATTGGGGGAGGGGGGGGGAGTGAATTCTTTGGAATTCTCTGGATTTAAGTGAGAAGCTACTATTTATTGCAACTGTTTATTTGAAGCTCCTTCATTGGAGCTTAACATAAGATACAGAAACTTGGTTTTTTGTTCAGTGTTCTAACGCAACTGTCCTTGCAAAGCTTTTTTTCCAGTCCATGGATAGATTTCTTTTAATGTCTCGCTCGAATGGCCCTACTTCCGATCACACCACAGCATTTCAGCGTCAGACTTCCAAAACAGAATTTCTTCAATTTGTTACACTTGTTTTCTCACACCTGTATTTTTGATAATTGCTAGTGTCACCTGTCCACAGGACACTGTTGCAGCAATGCTGCTGAAAATATAGGTGAACTTTAGCAAAACTGAGTTAGGCTATAATGCATTATTTTTTTCGTGTAGGGAATCTCTGATGTATTGTAGCTCTTAATTATAGCCAAGTAGTTTATCTGCCAAAGCCTGATTTCTTACCACTGCATATAGCAAACATCCACTTGAGAAAGTCAATTACTGGTATTTTTATAGGGAAGGTTGGCTATTATCCAATTTTTTACATCAAGTTAGGTTTAAAGCCATCCAGACCTTTTAAGACACACAAAACGGTAGAGTTTAGCGGTATGTGCAATACACTCCCATTAAACTATAACTAGGTACAGGAAGACAGTGAGAATACAAGAAAACTCAATTACTCGCAACTTCATGTAGTCAGCCATTGAATTCGACTGTCTGAAAGCCAGATATGTGTCAGAAAGAATGATACTGAAACATTTTCATATCGTATGTATAAGGTTGGCAAAATTAGCGCGCTTCACTTTATGTGTTTATCACACAACATAATAGCACAATCTTCAAATCCCATAATTCTGAGACATGAGGGTACTACACAGCATGGGAAATTATTCAGTAAGTCTACATGATGTCTATGAGCAAGGGTAAACGTACTTGCCTGTAATTAATGAAAGGGTGGCCAATTTTATCCAGTAAGGGCCAAATGTGTATGCGAATTTTCACTGCAACTCCCTAATTAGGTTACTAATTAGAGGACTAAGTGGCTGAAGAGCCCTCACACCTGTTTGAACAGCTGACCTACAGGTTATCCCAAAAACCTGCATACACACTAGCTCTTTATGGATTTGACTGGCCATCCCTGACTTAACAGATAGCAAATTTCACTTTACATTTACATAAAAAGCTATGTGCATATGCTTAGGTACAAAATGTAGTAATGTACTTGTCAACACGCTATCATGTGAGTGATGCTAGCCTGAAGACAGGTCAAACTATACAGGCCACACTTGAGGAATGCATATGAAGAGGATCCATTAGCGAAGCAGCTTCAGCTACCGAAAATGCTAATGCAGAATGACTTGCTTTAGACTGCTATCCTATTAACACTGCTGAAGACCTGTTACAACAAAAAGGTGAATGTATCTGAATGTCTACTGGCAATCCATCAACTGCCTTTAAGAGTTAAATTTATGTCTAGAATCCTTTACTTGTACAGCGTTTAAATAGGGCCTGGCAAAATGACTTAATCAATATCACAATTAACACTTTTACCTTGATGACGGTTGTTGATCGATTGGTGATTCCAATCCCTAATATAAAACAGTGACCTCCCGATGCAATATCATGATACCAAGCAGCCAATTCGATATGCATTGCGATTCTGTGAATATCCCAATTCAGTTTTTTTCTTTTAGAATTTTAAAACCTTGAAGCATGTTCAAAAAAAACATAATACTAAACTTTTATTCAATAGCTGCACAGCTGAATTGAAGATGAGTAAACACGGCATACTCCAAATAATTTTCCTGCTCAAAGAAAACCAAAAGAATCATTTAAACAATACAAAAACTAGAAATACAACTGAATACATTTCAGCTTAAAATTAGAAGTTAACAAGAAGCTACATTTGCTGATGTCATGAACTACACTGAGCTTTTATGCTTCCCCGCTGCCTTGTCCATCTCAGGATGATGTCCAGCAATATGTGCCCGTATGTTTGTCGTATTGCCACAATACTTAATTTTCGCAGGACAGTCTGCATACAGCATGGCTCGTGTCCAACTCCACTTTACAGTTTAGATTTTGAAAGCTAAAGTTCCTCCATACATTGGATTTAAACTGTGGACAAGCAGCATGAATCTCTGCTATGTATTCTGCCATTCCTGCACTGCCTGTCCATGTGGGAAAATGCGCAAACGGAAGAATTATAGAGGAACTGCAACGTTTTTTGCCACCACGAATCCAGACATACATAAATTAATTTTAAAAATCGATTTCTGAGTTAGTGTGGCGATACATGAATCACCACGCAAAAAAATCACGATACATAACTCAATCGATTTTTTCCCATAACTATTTTATATGCATTTTGTTTACATTGCCCTCATAGTTCTCTGTCAAGGTCTATACTGCAAATATGCTGAACTATTAAAGCTGGGGGGTTTTTTTCTAATGAAGGAGCACATCTCTTTGTAATTTTAAAATTAGAGGAAACACACAGATGAACCGTTTATGGTTATTGATTGAAAAATTTTAACAGTTGAAATCAAAGCACACAAGGCTTGAATAGAAAGCGTCTTCTGAAAAAGTAAAAGTATTTGGTATTGTGACTGCGGTCCAAGTGATGCAACAAATTAACATGACTGTTTTTGGTTTGGTGTCGTCCTCATGGGAGCCAAAATGTGTCCAAAGGAAGGACACTGCATTCTTTTTAGGTATAAGCTGCTCGATTTAAGGCCAATTTGTTAGCTTGGTGTTTGTGATACTGTCATCCATACCGCCAGCTACACTTAGAATGAACACGGACTAACGCTAGCTGGTCAGGGCAGAGGCATGTGACTGAACACGAGTTTTTTAAGGGGACAGTCCATAAATGTATGCAGTGAGGAATGTATTAACTGAATTAACTGACATGAGTAAGATTAAGCTGGTGAGAGGTTCTAAATGCCAGTTTCTATTCATTTTCGGTTAATTGCCCAGCCCTACGTTGAAAAGATGTGCAATGCGGAATAGCTATTACAGAAGCACTGACAGGAGATCACTAGACAACAAGCAACAACAACTACCAAGGCTCTGGATGTCATCACATCACCTATGAAGACGGAGATAGGACACCTTTCTGATGCTTCTACTGCATTAACAAGTTTCAAAATTGTGGGGGGTTCACCATAAAAATTACTGCTGTAGGAAGAGATCATACCCACAATCAACCACATCAATCAAGCATATTACTCTGGGAAGCCGAGGAGACATGCTGTGGTCAAAAATCTGAATGAAGTGATTCAAAAGCCAAGAATTTTTTTAAATGCATTTCCACTCTGCTGGATTTCGTAACTTTGAACAACCTAGATTAAAATCGACTGAATAACTGCATGAAAAGTTACCTCACCAACCATCTGAGATACGACTGCCCCCAAAAAATGAATAATCAGCAACCTCCACAGCAAACCCAGCTGCTGAGGAACCCGTAACTATAGTTTATTTGAGAAAGGTGCCATTTTAAGAGCATGTCTACCTGTCTCCAGATGGGATGTGGTTCTCAGCAGAAGAGGCAGTAAATACTTTGGTCTCCGAAAGCTGCAGACAGAAGTAACACAAAGCTCCTATTAACTTCTGAAGCTTGTTCAAGCAGCTGACTCTCATACAATTAAACATTCTATTTGTATGCCAATTTCTACAAATATTTGCAGATTAATCATCAATCAGCATTTGCAATCATTTTACCTGATTCCCACTAACATACTTAAACACATAGTAACCATTTCCCAGAATCACTTACATCTTCTGCCCAATCATCTGTGGCCCAGTCGTCTTGTGGAACCGTCCAAGCCCCTGTCAGCAAACACACACAAGTCCAAAACACTGAGTTTCATTCACATCCTCCAGTACCCTGTCACATCAGAGCCATTGTTTCCTCCAACTATTTCTTTAAATACAAAGATATTAGAAGGTTTTGCAGAATATTTGCATTAAAAATATTTCCAATATCAAAAAACTGGCCAAACAACCCAAAGTAGTTAACACAGAACTGTAACTGTACCCCATTTGAGAGACTTCTGTTCATTTTGTCCATTGATTTTCTTGCATACATTCTGTGATTTTTTCCCCCCTAATTTTTAAACATCTCACAGAGAACTACTAATTGCTGCTCATTAATAATAGTTGAAAAGGGAAAAATTCTGTAATTTTTCCAATAATGTAAGTGTCCAAGTACAGATTATTCAAATCAGGGGCAGTGCCAGACAGGGGCTTGACAGGCACCCAAGAAATTTCAGTGGTTTGTTTAGAATTTTTTAATGTTGATTTCTATTGTAACTGTTGCATAGTGGGTACTGCGTATGTGCGTGTGTGTTTCTGTACGCATGTCGGGGGTGTCGCAGTAGAAATTAAACTTGTGGTGAACAGCACATTAAGGGGAAACCCTAAATTTCAAGGTACCCTCGCAGAAAAGTGAAGCAACCCCAAAGCAAATGAATTATCGAATCTGAAAGTTTTAATTTCCGAATTTACCAAACCATCAAATATTTGTTGCAGCCATAGATTCCATACCTCTTCCATCTACCGCCTCTGTCACTGCTGTCTCCCAGTCTTCAGAGCGAGAGCCTCCTGCAGCTGTATTGGAGTCTGTGCTATACTCTGCTGGATTAAAGGTCCTGAAGAGAGGAGAGAGAAAAAAAAGAAAGGTGCATTTAAAGCAAACATCCGCCAAAATATAACATCAACATAGATTAAAATGCAGAAAATCAATGATGAACCAAATGACGACTGAAAAGTCTGAGCACGTCGGCTACGTGCGACACTCACCCCATTCCCTGTGATGAAAACTTGCTGCCACCAGCTGCCCGGCCCCTTCCTCGACCACCTGAAGCTGAAAATACAGCTACATCACCACCAAGTCTTTGGGTCCCAAACTGGGCAGTGTCCCAAAATACAACATAGTCTGTATGTTCCACTGATTTGCTTCAAGATGCAGGACAGAAACAAAGTTTTTATGGAATTGGCTAATCGAGGAACCAGCAAAAATCTTCCCCGGCAGCCAGCTTCCCTCCCTTCACCTCCTCAGACTCATTCTTTTTGCCCCTATCCTAAAGCCTTGCTCGACAGCAGCTGTGTGACAACCTCCACACAACACGTTGCACATGGCTCACAGTGACAGCCATGTGACATAAATAGAAACAGGACCAGGAAAATTGTTCATCTCTCCCTTATCAAGCCACACTCTTTTCCTGATTCATACCTAAGGTCCAGTCCTGGGATTACCTATAAAGAAAAGCTACAACTACTTCTAATAATTCTGTAATTGAGACGTAACGGATTTCTTTATATCACCACATTCATCAACTGCATAAACTGCCTGTGATTTTGAAGGCAAGGGAACATTCATTCACAAACCCACTTAACTCAAACATGTATGATGCTGCCTTCAGGTTCACTGGCAACACTATAACAAGCACTTAGGATGGATGCTATTCTTCACAGAAATTAAAACAACTGGGTAAAGCTGTTTCTAAATGTATGTTAAGTACTTTGGGAAATGTGTATTTGGAAGTGTTCCATATAAAAACTAATCAAAAGAACTGTTGCTCAGAGTTAACTTCTATTTCAGCTTCAACTATTCATCAGTGCAGTGATACAGACCCTTAGTTTTAATTCTTCACATTTCCAAAACGGAACCCAAGCCGAAAGTATCATTTACAGTGAAAAATAAAAGTGCACAGTTAAAAGAAAACACACTAAGAGCAGCTCACCTCTGCCTCGCCCCCGGCGGCCCCTGTCCGCCCCCCTTTCCCCCTGATGCAGGTCCACGCCGTTCTCCTCCAGACACACTGCAAAGCACAAACACACAGGCCATTTGCCACATTGGCATCTGTTCAGTAGGCAAATGAGAAACTGTATTTTGCATATTTAAAACATTATTTATTTAAAAAATGACAAATGTAAAACACAGAAATACACTCTGCAATGTAATGGAACACAAAGTAAGCAAGGTCAAGGTTATGAATGAAAGCTTCCTTTGCACTCTGTCACCAACAGATCCTCCATCTCCTTACCCTCCCGGTTACGGACAGCTCCACGGCCCCTCCTGTTTGGCCCCCCACGACCCCGACCAGCCTCTCTTTCTGCTCTCTTTTCCCGGCTCTCTTTATTCTCCTTGTCTGATGAAGATCCTTCCTTCGGCAAACCTCGTTTTTTCCCCACGGTCTCCCAAGAATTCTGAAATTGGGTTAGAATCAGTACCCGCAAATCAAATAAACTAAACAGCTAAACAGTGGGTCTGTGACTGGGGTGACAGGATAAATTAATAAACATCTTTATATTTTCACATATCATGTGTGAACCTCAGTATCCCCAAACCGTCTTCCTTCTTCCTACCGTATCTGAGCTGCCCTCAAGGAGAAAGTTGATGGCTCTGTTGACATCCTCATTGCAGTCATGAAGGGCTACCATGCACTCATCCTGATTCTTCCCTGTTACTTCCATCAGCTAATACAAAGAATGACAGTTCAGTCAATTTTGAATACGCAATGTCATTACTTCTAGTACTGCCACCATAGACACACACTTGCTCAGCAACCATGCTGCATTCACTTACACGACAATAAAATTCACCTCTCTCACCTGTTTGACTTTATCCTCAAAGACCGTATCATTGCTGTCATAGATCACTTGAGCAAGGCGAATCTGTTCTGCTGTAGCCTGAAAGACAGAACACTTGTTTATAAAGCTTCAAAGAAATATGAGTAGTTTTTCCCTACATCCTCATGAACGTTTATTGACAAGATCAACCTGTCACAACGGCACCTGTTCACAGGACCTTACACACACAAAAAACTCCCAGCTTTGCCAGGGTTTCTGCTACTCACCTGTATCTGTACTGCTTGTGGTGCTGCAGGTAGCACTTTCTCCCGAGTGCCCCGGGGTCGGTCGGTGACTAACGAAGTCATCATATACAGTATATACAAAACAATGTATGTACAAAATAGAAAAATCTGGAAGAGAGAGTTGGATGATTCAAACGCTTGTTTATGGTACACAGTTTGCATGTAGATTTCCTGCTACATCTGAAAAACATTTGTGCTGTACAACCTGGGCTTACACTGTAGATTTTTACCAAGTACAACAACTGTGTAGTACTTAAAGATACAAGGGATTGGATCAGGAGTGCGGAACAAGGCGTGATCTCGCAGGCGGCCACCCACACACCGGAGGAACACAACCTAACATATGACTGCCTTGACTTAAAATTAGCCTCTCGCGAAAGGACAGCCCCGGTGTCCCATTACACTTCACCATTTGCGCTCTCTGTCGGAACTTGTCTCATTTTGTACATGTAACTCAGTGAGCAAAAAAGCAACTCTGCTGGAATAATTTAGATTGATTTAACAGCGTAACAGGAATCCCAAAGTAAACAGGACACCACTGCGCCATATTCAAAATTCATAAGCAGTCACCATCAATAAAAACACAAACAACACATGAATTAATTACAATTAGTAAACAGTACGTTGTAAAACAGCATTCGAGAGAGACGGATGCGTCGTAATATTAGTTACTTAAACTGATTCCGTATATCCAATTGTAAAGAATTAAAATGCTGTGTTATAACCTAGTTTAACCTCATGTATTGTAGTATTAAAGACGCAAGGGTTATAGGGATCCGAGAATTACACCGCCGCGCCGCCTCCCTATTGTTCCAGCAACAGCGGCTTATTTCGCTGTAGCTGTCGACCACGTCTCACCCTCCATAATGCATTAAACCATCTCACTAGCCGTCTAACGACTTCGTATTTCAGTCCCAATAAACCACCTCTCTTCGAGGCCTACAGTAAAACTAGCCCAGGTTCGAGGCCCCTTTGTGTCGGCGACCCCGAAGAGCCGGGCACTGGCGGTCAGTAACAACGCCGCTTATCAGCCCCAAAATACCCGTTACCCTTTCGACCATTCAGAGGAAAACCCAGGCGTTTATCGGACACGCCCTGGAGTCCCGGCGCCTAACGTTTACAGCGAAATTAAGGCAGCCATAAGGCGGAACCACTATTAGCTTAGCCAGACAGCTCAGTAACGAACGAAACCGACAAACACCGTTGGCATTGCTCGCTTGTTCTACTGATAACATCGAATTACTTCTAGATTCTCTAGCTAACGGGTTTCCTACCTTTCGGAATTATCATTTCACCTAGTAACAGTAGGAAACATTTTAAATACCTGCACTTAGTATGAAATGTACTGTATTACTTTATTTCACAAAAGGCTCATTTCGTTTACCTGCTAACACGCTTCTCTTAGCCGGGGTAGACGGCGCACGTCACGTTACGTCAAATCACGCTACGCCGCGTTACGTCGCTACAGCGATCCATGTGTTGCCTTTCAGCCCTGAATAAAACTACACAGCATAGTGGAAGTATGAGCATGCGGTTTGGCAGCATCGGTACATAATTCCGCCACGTTCCGTTTAAACTTCCCTAGTACTTTTCTGTCATTCGCCGAGCCGTTGATTTATGTACTACTTATTTTCTGAATATTATCTGTCTTTTACATAAAAACGGCATTGTTCTAGTCCGGCCACTGAAGCTGCACAGAATTTGATGAAATGTGTGTTCGTTTTCCTTAAATCATTCAGTTCTGCGATTGAACTACACTACTATGTGTAAAGAAATGTTTCCTTTAGTTACACTTGAACTATATGGCCGGATTTTTCTGTGCCTTTGTTATTGAGTCGGTGCTTAACTGAAATAGCCATCGGGCCTATTCTCAAGATGTAGTATTCTTAAGTATTCCCGTCCATTAACTGGTTAGTACGGCTGTAGAGATTTTATATGCTGTCCTTGGCTGTCCTCTAACAATATGGATTTTTCTAATGGTTCTTATAATTGCAGCAATCTATATTAGGTCTTCCTAATACATCGAACAGCCTCATCACCCCTTAATTGGCCTTCAACATACATTTTACTTTTTTTATCAACTAAGTGTACGCTGAAATGTATTTCATATTATGGAAAAGTACATGCTATTTCCCCCACATGGTACCTCTAGCATACTCTCCTAGTTAATAAATGAGATAAATGCATTTATTTCTTATACCATCTGCCAGATCCCTGTCTGTACTATAATTGCATAATTTGCTGTGCATTGTGTCTGCTATTCAATCAGAATTAGAAGATCAGTGGTCATTGTTAACACACCACAGCACACAACAACAAAAGGTGTCCTCTGCATTTAACCCATATGTGACTTTAGTGACATAGCAGGGGGCAGCTAATTCAGCGCCAGGGGAGCAGTGCTTCGGAGCAGTACCTTGCTCAGGGTACCTCAGTGGTGCCTTGCTGGTCAGGGATTCGATCCAGCAATCTTTCAATTACAAGTGCATTTCCCTAACCATCAAGCCATCACTGGTATGTGGACAGTGGTGGACTATGGTATGCATCAGTGCATACCATAGACATAGAACTGGACTATCATAAGCTAATAATATTCAGAGCTTCTGTTCTGTTACATATGTAACCTAAGTTAGAATGTGTAACCCATGATACTTAGAAAAATGGTAATGCAAGAAGTAATATTGCTTCACATAGTGAAATAGATTACCTTGCATTTTCTTCCAAACCATTTGGAATTGACCACAAGTTTAATTTAAACAATGAGAAGTCACTTCCTTAAAATACATGGCCACCAATGTGATCTTTTCTTAACCAAACATAAGTGTCTGTTATAATGTTAAGAGCAAACTTCACTGAATAATATGGCTGATATACAATGTTTTACCTAAAGCCATTGGAATGACTGTTTGCATCTGTTGTTAGATGTGTAGGCTTTGAACAAAACAGTCAAGAGCAACACCCACTTCAATAGAAAAAGGTACATCAGTAGTCTTTTATTTTAAATACTTTGTTTTGCTCGACGTGTAATTTCTTCACTTCATTTGTAAAAACATGGTTGTGAATATAGAAAAACCAGGCACCACAAACTCTTAGCTTTATGCATGTGTAATATTTGCACACAATTTAAAAATAATTTTATAAAAGTGATGGTTATTTGTCATGTGGCTGTAATGGTGTGTGTTTTTTTCATATTATACAAATAACTTCATAAAAGACAAATGTCAACCAGAGTTAGTCTTTCACAGAAAGACAGGCCTACTGAGTAATGGAGGACAGAACAGCTTGATGGGAAAAGGGAATTCCATGAGAACACAAAGACAGACAGACACACACACACACACACACACACACACACCACAAGATAATACAGGGTGATTATAGTGGAGACACCTGTCAGAAAAAGGGAGGCTATAATAAATAACTGACAATTAAGACGACTAAAAAATAAATGATTATGAAAAATCAATCATAGTAAATAAAACTGGGTGGGGGACTCAAGCCCAAAATCTTTCAAAGTCAAAAAAAAAAAAAAAGGTTTCCCTCCATGTCATGGTACCACTCTAAAATAGCAAATAAAATCTCTGCAGGATTGAAAGACTGTGGGAGAACAGGGACGGTACCTGATTAAATCATCTCATTATTCTGATGTTCCTTTCTTTATAGTCCACCTTTGCAAGACATGCAATCATCCTCAATTCTCCCTTAGGTATTAGCCAAACAGATTCTGCTAAAAGCACTGAACACAATAAAAGAGGGAAATACCATACATTTTCTTTAAGCCAAAATATAAATATATTAAATCTCCAAGAATCTGGCAGAAGATTATTCATTTCTCCCCATTTAGTTAAAAAAAAAAAAAAAATCAGTGAGCTGTGTCCGAAGCTTACTTCTTCACATCACCCCCCCCACACCCCCCCTTTTCTCCGTCTAAACATAAAGCCTTATTAGGCAAGCAAAGACCTTCCACAAGCGAACAGAGTAAGTATATGACTTAAAGACATAACCAAACTTCATAAATCAAAAGGAATACCTAATGCGGTTTCTGAGAGAATAATGCGTAAAGAAAGCATCAGTGGAAACAGACAGATTTTTGTGGGATGAGAATGATTTTCAATGAGAGAACAGTCAAGAGGAAACAGAAAAAAAGTCTTTGATGAAAATTCATGATGATTATACATTTACACGCTAGTTCCACAGCCCGGCATAATTCCCATGAAGACCAGAGCAAAGGGGGCCACCAGCCACAAAAAGCTTTGTTCCGGAGGCGTCGTAGCAATGCGTGTACACAGCATTGGGAAAGTAGCTGTTGTCTGAGAAGTAACTCCTCCATGTCTCGTCATGGTTCTGAGAAATAGGTGAGACACCCAATGAAACAATTGCTCCTCATCACCAGACTAAGGCTGCTACTACATAAACTACAAAAGACAATGTTTTGTTAGAGACTAAGACACAGCAAAATTCACATAGTTCTAGAGTTAGACATGAAACGACAGTTCAATGGAACCAAAGAGGGACTGACCAGCCAACCCTTGCCGGTAGTTAGCTTAAGGACTCCCTCTCCTGTGCGTGACCAGCATCCACAGTTTGAGATGTTTGTCTCTCCTATAAAGCGCTGGGCTCGGATGTCGTAGAATAGCAGGGAGCCTTGCCCTGTGCCCACCGTCACAACATGCTCGTAGAAACTCACAGACCGGATGCCTGAACACAAAGCACGTTCATCACTGATTAATACCCTTTTCAAATGACTCTGAATCTGTATGAAGGGTCATGGTAATATGAAATGGCCTTGAAAAACAACAGACTGAAATCAGAGCATTTAAGGTTTTTTTTTTTCCTAAATTAATTTTAAAGAGAATAAAACCATCTATAATAATTTGGACCCTTTGCCATCAAGAAATGGACTCTACACAGATCAGCTACTTTAACCCCATTTACAGCAATACCCACATTTCCCATTTCTATGCAAAATCTGCCTCCTGCAGTTACCTGCACTAGATTACTAAGGAATTTTAAAAGCAAGTTACCGAACAGAAAATGTTTGCATTGTAAAAGTATTTTTTCTGCTCAACCCAAAATTAACATACCTTGTATATATCAGAAAGTGCACTTACCACTGCCCTGTTCCTGAGAGTCCACAGACTTGACGTTGTGAAGAGGTTGGCGAGGGTCCAGGAAGGACACGTGTGCCTGGGACCCGACAGCGTACACGGACCATTCCTCCCCGTAAGCCAGGCACACGTTCTCTTTGCAGTGTGGTAACTTAGTCGAGAGCAGCTGCAGAATGAGAGGAAGGTTCCCATTACAAAGTTCTGTTCATAGATTTACAAATCAGTGAGAACTATAGTACAGTGAGCACTGCTAATTCAGACCTCCTGCAAACCTAAACACTGATCATTTAGCCAAGTAACGAAAGGAAACCCAGAGCAGCTAATACTGCAATGTTTTACCAAGTGAGAAATCAGTAAGCCACGGGTTAAAGGGCCAATCAGCAACCAAATACACACGATGATTCTAATCATGATAGCGTCATAACTTTCATTTTCTCCTAAGCCAAGTATTAAAGAAGCATAAGCCAGCCAAAGATACATAAGGCCCAAAGACAGCCATCTTGATAAAACGGCATTCACCTTGCACAGACTATGCTCTGCTTCCCACAGGTGGAAATACCCATCCAGGGACACAGCCCCCAGTTCCTGAAACGGAATGGTTGATTAAAGCAACAATAAATGATAACAAAATGAGTTTCCTAAAAATGGTAATATTTATCTGCACAGATTAGCATCAGAATATAATGCAATACATATTAAATTCAGGAAAAAAAGTACTGATATATGCCACCCAAAATCAGAAAACCAGCTACCTTGTTGTTGTTGTTGAAGGCAAGTGCACGCACTTTGCAGTTGTAGGGGTTAGTGTACTCCTTAGGGAGGTCTTCCAGGGCACGGTGGGAGATGTGAGAGTAACTGGGCACTCCATCATCCTGGCAAGCGTTCCTTTGACTGAGCACCTCCTCTGACACCTCCCACAGCCCCATGGAGCCATCCCGGGATCCTAGGTATTTTCAAAGGGATGGACAATTGGAGCAAAAAGAAATATTTATATGAATGAAATATGTAACATGAGATATGACTTCATATGTCCTTTATTCATTTGTCAACCTATTTCACTGCACTTACCCGATACAGCCATGGTATCACTAATCCACGCAATGGAGAAGATCCAGTCATTGTGCCCATCCTAAGAGGATTAAACAAACAGACAGAAGGTATTGGATTGAGACCACTGTTATCCCAACGCCCCTCAATGACATACTTAATTTAGACACCTCTAACATCTCTTACACACAGCTGGCTTAAATACATTTTGAAATATGTGGAAATAAGATAAGTATGTGAGCAAACAAAAATGAACACACGTAAAGTTTACGTATCCCATATGTAGCACTTACATCTCCTACACAAACAGGGTCTAGCGTTGGCAAACTGTAGATAGCCAGACTGTTTGGATTGTCTCCACCGGTAGCCAGCAGGGTCCCTGAAGCGTTTATCTCGATGGCATGGATTCCACAGCCCTGCTGATCTATCCCAGACACTGAAGAGACCCTAAACCCTAGCCCTCCATCATGGACCTCCCTGTCCTTAAGCATGGGTATTTTGGTGATCTGTCCAGTCAGCACATCCACGATAAAGAGCTGCAGGAAAATGACAAGTGCATTTAATATTATTTAAATTCACATGAGAACACTAGACAGACACCCTCACAGAAAGACAGACGCATGCACAGATAGACACCCTCGCAGAAAGACAGACGCATGCACAGATAGACACCCTTGCAGAAAGACTGACGCATGCAGACAGACACCCTTGCAGAAAGACAGACGCATGCAGACAGACACCCTTGCAGAAAGACAGACGCATGGACAGACAGACAGGTACCCTCGCAGAATAACAGATGCATACACAGGCAGGCAGACAGACAGAAACAGGCAGACAGACACTTTCTTTTTCCTCTGACCGTGTTGCACTTGGTTCCACACACCACCTGCCGCTGGTTGAGCCACTGGGACGCAAACACCTTGTTGAGGCATCCTAGGGAGAATTCCCTCTCTCTCAGCATGGCCGGCAGCCGGGCAGCAGCAAATCCCCGCAGTCTGCGCTGGAGATGCCGCTCATGCTGCTGCCGTGGCTGAAATTCCCGGCCTTGGAGGGCACACACCACAGAGCGCTGCCGGCGCCATGACAGCCGCGGGTGCTGCGAAGAGGAGGCGTCGGTGGAGCGCAGACGCTTGTAACTCGAATGGCACCAGCCCAGCTGTCAAAAGAGGCATTCATGAAGTGTTACTTAAATGTATGCCGACATATGATCCAGTGTCAGTTAGCCTCATTCAGTATGACAGTGTGTGCCTTATTTGCTAGGTTATATCAGGCGATTATGAAGCTTAGGTATTATTAGATATTATTTCCAGCATAACTGTGTGACCCTCTCCATTGAGATGCTGCTGAACTACGACATGCATACACAGACATGCATTTGATACGTTTCTGACATTGTTCCTTCATCCTTAAGTATTTCAAAGCTAAATGTGTGTAAAGCACATGGCCCGTCATGCTACCACCTTTCCAGACTAAAAGAACCATTTTGAATATCTCTTAAGAGCTTTATGTTGCCCATAATCACTCAAAACCAAGTGTGTAGATGATGGGAATGATGAAGAAGGTAGTGATGATGATGATGATTATTATCAGTGTTTCCCTTACCATTATATTTGGGGGGCGCCCCCCCCCCCCCTTGGCACCTCCTGCCCCCCCCTTGAAGGTCAAGTTAATTTCATTTTATTTTCTATATAGCGCCAGATCACTACAAAAGTAATTTAAGGTTACCTTTCCTATAGAACAGGTCTGTACATTGTGCTTTTATTAAATTGCCTTGTAGAACTGCCAGACTGGTGACGCAGTTTTAGGCGGTTTATTTTTCCACGCAATGAGAGGTCTTGCATATATTGTGTCATCTGACTGGCGCTTCTGATCGGCCTTTATAGACAGCGCCGGTCAAATTGGTTAGAATGAATATCAGCCGATAATGATCGATGGCCGATCAAATGAACCGCCCTTAGTTTAGCTGTCCCTTTCTTCGATGCCACAACAGTGCTTATCGATTCCACTATATACCAGCAACGTAGTATGTGGCACGCTCCACTAAGCAAATTGAATAAACAAAGATTCGCCCTGGTGACTATTGTGCATACATCACATAATTGCGATTATGGTGCGATGTGTTATTGTGCAGCCCTCTTGTTCCCCTGTTTGTGTTTTGATGGCTTTGTCGGTGCTTGAGCTCCATTGCTGATCACCAAGGAGGCGATATTTCATCGCAATGCAAAACATGTCACAGGGGGATACAATGCCAAATTACACTGAACTTTCATCAAGCATTTGTTATATTAATAGAGGAAAACCGTGATAATTATTGCTATAGTTTTATCACCCAGCCTTAAATGTAAGACACTAGCAGATTCTCAAAAAACGAATTTGAGAGAAAAACCATAATAGGGCACTGGTTCATCCAGTATACCAGTTTTAATTTCCTGTATGGTATGAATCGTTCATATACCATCATACTGCAGCATAGCTGAAACAACAACTGTAATGCTTCAATAGGCAGCAAATTATATTATATTGTTCACTGCTAGAAGTGCTGTGGATTGTTGTGCAGAATGTATTGAGAGGGAATCCCTGCTAACTCTGCGTACCCTTCACACTGACAGATATAAACACAAGGATTCTACATATATAACTGTTCAGCATTGTAGTATTTATAGCCGATTCACTGTATGAAAATTTAGATTACATGTGATATAACTAGTTCTGCAATTAAATTCATATCAGTAAAGCAAAATCCATAAATACCGATTTCTCATGGCAATAATTAAGATCATGCCAATTAAGCAAACATGTAGTAATCAAAGTAAATACACAATAAAAAAAAAGTTATCTAATAAAAAAAATATTGGTTATACTATCAAGCTAGATGTAAATGATTTATAATTAATAAAAACACACCTTTTCAAAAACATTTGCGAACATTTTATTGATGTAAATATTTGCTTTATCCCATAATCAATCAAAACCAAGCAATGAGCTGAAGTCACCTCTGTAAAGTCAGAATTGCTGTAGCATTCATTTAACAGGAGGAAAGTGAAAGACACTATGTAGCATGCACTTGTCAATGAAGGGTCACCTCCAACCTACCACTGGCTCTTTGTATCTGATCATGATTAAAACTGCATTCTTTAAAAAAAATTAAAAAATAAAAAAAAAACACAAACTACATACAACCAAGCCACCCAACACTTCACAGGGTAAAAAGAAGGAACACAGGAACACATTTCAAAATTCACTCCACCGCTATTTTCCGTAAATGTGAAGGACAGTAATAGGGGGACTGGCAAATCTATATTGTTATCTAAAAAGAAGAAGCATTTGATTCCACATTAGAAAAGCAAGTAATAATCGATTTTTCTATCAATGATTTATTGAAAGTTGACCCTTGGACATAAATCTATTACCCAATAACGAATAATAATGTCAATAACGTTAATAAGGTAAATAAAACTTTAATGCCTATCATTCAGATGTCGATTTAGATGCATGAAACTTTTGCTTCTCAGTTTGCTCTACAGGAAGGCGATTAATTCCCAAAAATGACCAAGTACTTTTGACAAATAATTCCGAGGACCAGACCACATAAAAATAGCTACATACACAAACAATACGGGCCGCAAGGTACCGGTGCATATTGTCATTCCTAGTAAATATATTGCTATCTTCGTTTGTACGCAAAACAGATAACACCGGTGTGACACTGCAGATAATATGCACTAATGCCAGTGTGCAATTCAAAACAAGCGATTAATTTACTATAATAGACTATATTTTATATTTATTAGATCAGTATGTTTGCTGTTAGATAAATAAAAAATGCATTATGGGATACATGAATCATCTGGCCTGACCCAGTAAATTCGATTTTCGAAAGATTATAAAAGTAGCGTATTTTACCTAGGCCAACTCGACACTTCCCCGTGTGAAATCGCAGCTTTAGCTCAGATTTTATATCGGGCTTCTCGCCAAGTGATTAACATATAATGCGGTAGCTCATCAGCCCTGTTTTGTGGGCAGCGGCGAACTGGGTCAAGACCGAGGACAGCGCGACCCCGTCCGATCCAGCCTACCTGTTGTTCCTTGGACTCTGCCGCCTTCCTTTTCCTGCTAACTGTTTTTCTCGCCATAGTCCGACACACACAGGTCCCTGACCCACATGGAGGACAGCACTGGCGCCGGGTACTGGATCATATAACGGCACTCCGTGTTTTTTTTCGCTCGATGCGAAACAGATGACCTAAGGGCAACCGTGTCGCTCGTTAGCACTACGGCTAACTACTTTAAACACGACGGACAAAACGTGGCCCTACTATCGTCGGTTTACCCCTCCCTCAAGTAAGCAGCGAAACACCCCCTAAATAAATGTCTATGCAAGTTTCCCTACAACATCTACCAAGGGCTTCATAATAGCCCTTCGGCCTGCTTAGCAAAGCGCTCCTGCACCGACCTAAAATTGTCTGAACGCTGCGTCACTAACAGCACCGACCGGGCGTGCGCAGGCGCACTAAACTCAATCGTCGACAAACCAGGGGGCCAGACGTCCTTGCTTCATTAGCGACTTTAGCACTGTATTACTTTTTCCCTTTCTCTTTCAGATGGCTAGTTAAAATAACTTAAGACCGAGCCTCCTATTTTCTCCCTTTTAAGCCACCAGGACTATGTTATGCAGCTAGTGTCGCTTTCCTGGGCATTCGAGTCCGCAGCAAAAGCAACATCGGGGATAAGAGAAATTAATTCAAAACTTACATACAGGAAGCAAGAACAGTAGGAGGCACAAGGCGATGTAGGGGCCGGTTCTAGTCCTAGCACTGCGAAATTACTAAAATAAAAAGTAACATCTGTGATTTGAATAATCAGTGACCTGTTGAGAGAGTAATATAATCATGATAACATTCATTTATCTGACTTAAAAGCTTTGAGATATTTTTTCTTTCATACCAAATAGGATAGGCTCCAGATTCCCTGTCATCCTGTAATAGATAAGCAGGTGGAAGATGAATGAATCACTGGGCATGAGCAGGCACACTGAATACCAAAATGATCCCGACAGACAATTAAACCAGTTCCATGATGATATAACAGTAAAGTTACACTCGGCATGCTTCTGTTACCCATTTCTGTAGGATGCCAAATTATCTCTCTGAGATTTCCTTCTGCTCCAGGCTTATCCAGTACAAGCTTGCGGTGACATGGAGCCTATCCCAGTAAGGTGGTCACAAGCTAGGGAACTCCCTGTATAGGATGTCAGACGCCTAATCATTTACTAAGGGCAATTCAGAGACACCTATACCGCCTGTTTTAAATTAAGTTATTAATTCATTAATAAACTTATTTGACCTAGGGGATGCAGTCTGGGTACTCAGAGGAAAAAATACATGAACACAAAGAGAGATCAGCTGGAAAAAATTAGACTACTCAGGAGTTTCCAGTACACTAGAACTGCCTTCTGTATTAATCTATACTTTAAATATTCAGACTTTTAAATGTTATAAATAGCTATGTTTTTGTTCTTATATGACAGATATTTATGAGGTGATTGCCTTGGTTTAACATTGGAAAGTTGGAAGTTTTGTTAGAAATTGTTTTGATGGCTGTCTCTGTGCTCCACTGCTGATCCTGACAAGCAGTCACTGAGAAAGTGAGAAATTGTATTTTGTTGGAAATTGGCATTTGTGATTATAAACAACCTCATGCAAAGTGTCAGGCATAAATATCCAGTTCTGTGAGACTCAGCTATATAAATTACAAAAGGGTTGTTTCGCCAATTTCCATCCATCCACATATGCAGTACAGGGTCACGGAGAGCAGATGGTGACAGGTTAAAAAAGTTGCACTTGGTACCTTTAAAGCTCATGCACAAATTCATATTAAATAGTTCTAGCAAAACAGGCAGGTGCTCAGGCACCCCATTGTATGTGCCTGATGGTGTATCATCAGTGTGTCTCATAGGGTTTGTCAGTCCACACTGAGCACAGTCACTCACTACTCACCGTGGAAGGAAAACTGTGCAGAGGTGGGTAGAACATGCAAACTTCACACACACAGAGCCAGGTACCCACTGAAAATTCACCAGTGTTCCACAGTCTGTATCTTTCTTACTTTAGGTAAAGACATTCACAGGAGCAAACACTGTCATAGGTTCAAAGTTTAACAAAAGAATTTGCCCAAGATGGTTTAAATTAAAATCGATCCATTATAATCACACTATTGTAGTTTTAGTGCCACACATGCAAGAGAACTTGGGTCAGATCCAAAAATAAGAACTAGATACATAGATACCATGCATACAGGAGATCATGAAGCGAGCTGTAGGCCCCCAACTGGAGGTGAATTGTGACTGGTAACTGGCTCTAAACATCTCATTTGAAAGAGGAAGAGCAATGCCTCTCTCTTTATCCCGCTCTTCAGTGTCTGTGGTGATTTTTGGAGAAGCAGAGATCACACTGGAAAGCTTGTTTGCAACCCCATTTCCAAAAAAGTTGGGATGGTGTGTAAAATGCAAATAAAAACAATGAAATGATTTACAAATCATATAAACCCATATAATATGATGGTGAAACTCCCAAATTCTTTGTAAAATTACATTGAGGAATAAAATTCTTAAATTGTTGCACAATTTGCACACGCGATCTGTCACAGAGTGGTGAACCTCTCCCCATCTTCACTGCACAGAGACTCTGCTTTTCTGGGAGGCTCTTTTTAAAACCAATGATCTTACTGACCTGTTGCTGATTAACCTAATTAATTGTGAGATATTCAACCAGGTGGTTTGTTCTAGCATTACACAACTTTTCCAGGTTTTTGTAACCCCTGTCCCAAATCTTTTTTAAACGTGTTGCTGGCATCAAATTCAAATCGAGCATATGTTTGTCATAAAACAATACAGTTTCTCAATTTCAACGGTTGATATGTTGTCTTTGTTCTATTTTCAATTAAATATAGGTTTATATTATTTGCAGATCACTACATTCTGTATTTACATTTACATTTACATTTTACACGGTGGCCCAACTTTTTTGGAAATGGGCTTGTAGCTTTCCGGCTGTCATGCTTCATATTGCTGCAGGGCAATGGGGGACAGACTTCACAATGCAGAGTGGCAAAGAAACATTCTGATACTCTGATTTCATTAGGCTTGCTGTTGAGTTGTGGTTCACTGTGGTTGTCATTTTCATACGCAGAAGAAACAGCATGGCTAAGCTTCCAAATATGGAAAAGTCCACCGGCATGGAGGTGCATCTGTGACTGGATATATGTAATACTGGCTTCCTATTAAAAAATGCTTATACTAATGAATCAGGTCATGTGCCTTTCCAGAAAAATGTGCTGTAGTTGTGATGTTTTAATAATAAGGGTTTGTGTTAAACACAGTTACTGCTTGCTGTCAGTAGGTATGATACAGTTAGTAGTCACGTAGCATTTTATTAGGTTAAATATATGAGCACATTTATGGATGCCTGTGGTCTTAAGCGCAGTTTGCACCACCAGACACTTTCTGTTTTTAAACATAACGCGGGTTGACGGCGGCGCTCGCGTATAGGCGCGCGCCCGGTCGCTCCTGATGCACGCTGCGTGCCGGAAGCTACGAGGAAAACAGGAAGACAGCTCAGGCATCCTGACAGAAACCAGTTTTACACCCTTGTGTGGGTCTGTGCGCGTCTGCATTGCGAAAGTCAAATCCGCGACCCGTGTTCGCCGCTTTGGAGGAGAGCGGGTGTGGATCGAAGCGGGAGCTAGAGACAGAACACGCCATTAAGGCAGCTTAGCGGTAGAAGATCGCTGCGCACATGTAAACAGAGGAGCATACAGCTGTGCACACACAAATACAGACCACCATTGCATAGGCTGCAGGACGCGCACGGTGCATAGCAAGAAACTGGGAACTGCTATCTTTTTTCCATTTGGACTTAAGGACTTGAACGGAAAGGAGCGAACTGTTTATCAGATAACGTGAATTTGAAGGATATACCATACGCTGGCCCATCCGTCCCTTCTCGCCCCCCTGAGAAAAAAACTGCTTTGGCAGCAGCTCAGCTTATATCAGCTGGTGTTTAAGTTACCCGGCCGCGGCGCTTTCTATGCATGGTGTAGGAAAGGGTTGAACTAACCTCCCTGCTCACATGCGCCCGTCATTTATCATCTCATGCTCTTGTAGACCTTTAGGGGAGTCTTAACTGCATTTGTGCTATCTTTCTGTCATAATCTAGTCTACTGCCTTGCATTTTAGTGTTACGCATTTTTAACTTAAATCAACATGAGTGAATCCGTAAGAAAAATGTTATAATCTATTATTATATTGAGTATTGTCGCTATCTGAGGTAGCTTAGTAAATCTGTTTGCATAAACTAATATTTTGCTTGCAAGTTAGCGTACAGTATGAAGCTTTGTTGTCCACCTGTTATGTCATTTAATTCCTAAATTTTACAAATTTGTTTTTATAAATATGTGTTGAATTGCAGTAATGAATGCCATCTGGAACATTGTTTCTTAAAACCTACATTTATTTGAATGTTTATGTGGTCTCTAATGAGAGTAAATGCTTGTTTTGTCTTACGTCTTGCAGCCCAAGATTTTTATTCACCTGCAGTATTTCAGCTAGTTGTTTTCTGAGTCATCACTATTAATTTGAATTAAAACTTTAATTTGATCAAGAATTTCACGGTTTCTGACACCTGGATTTTCTGCATGCCCGACATTTGGTTAACTGAGCAGCTGGAGAAGGACTTTTTCAGCAAAACACAAGAAAGAGTGACTTGTGCTCCTACCATTGACGGATAATCAGACGAGTTCGGATACCATATCCCTACATATTCTCGTTCGTCCACGCAAATATTTTTCCTTGCACCATCTTGACTCGACTCTGTGGAGCAGGATCGCAATGGCGCAACAGCAGATGCCGAGTTCTCAGAAAGCTCTCATGTTGGAGCTGAAGTCCTTGCAGGAGGAGCCAGTTGAGGGATTTCGCATCACATTAGTAGAGGAGTCAGAGCTGTACAACTGGGAGGTGGCCATCTTTGGACCACCTAACACACTCTATGAAGGGGGCTATTTCAAGGTAAGCTTTGCATCATCTGCCAGTCTCAGGGAAAGTGGTGCCAACATAGTTTATGGATATAAGTAAGATAGACACAGAGGTAGAAGTACGTTTTTTTTTCCCTCTGTGTTTAACTGTACAGCATCTTATTTCCGTGCTCTCCTCTTATGTAGCTGCAAAACACTATTCTGACGGGTGAAATTTGAAAGACCACGCATGAAGAAAACCTTTTATCTTGTTTTCTAGATAAGATATTTTATTTATTTTCCATTTCTACAAGGTACATAGGAATTCATCGTATTTTACATACCTCTTCTTCTTTTTTTGTTTTGTTTTGTAATGAGAGCCCCCAGTTTTGGAGTCGCAGCACAGGGTCTGCCAGCTTGCAGTGTCTCTGGAGCAGGTGGGGTTAAGGGTCCAGTGGTGATCTAGATGCTCTGCTGATGATTCAAACCCATGACTTTCTGGATGCAGGCACAGATCCCTAACGCACGTAGCTACACACTGGCTAGTGTGTTCCTGTCATTTGCATCAAATTACCCTTTTTGTGTGACATTCCTTCAAAAGTAATGAAATAGCTTAGATTTTTAGATTGTAGATTATAGATTTGTAACTTGCATTTCGCACAGTTAACTTGGGAAATAATGGCAAAACAGAAGAAAATGAATGAATGTGGATTTCAAGTTTAAAATTTGATCTCCTTGTGCATTACCCTGTTGGCTTATATTGGTGATTCACATCTTATTCAAGCTCTTAGGTAAATTTATTATCCATTGCTTTGTGGCTTGAAATCTCACATTTGATGTACTACCAAACAATGTCCTGTGATGCCCAAACAAACTAGGTACTTTTTCTCAGTCATGAACGGTATGGTAAATCATTCAAAATGCATATCTGATGGCAGGGGACTGGATTACAAATATCTAAGCTGAATTATTCTATTGTTATATTTGTCTATATGCTGGTTACCAACTTGGTTTGAAACATGACTGTTCACATTAACATTTAATGAACATAAATGAGCAAATCTATGTAAGTATATTATTGATTAGGTTCTTGGTTGGACAAAAACCATTGTTCAAAATGCTCCACTTGTACTACAGTCATTTAGACTTCTGTATGCATTCTCTTGTCATAATTGACCCAAAAGCAATACATAAGACGGAATATTCCATTGTTCCATTAAGATGTGATGAGACATCTGAATATCCTCCTTGTTCTGCTGGAGGGGAGTGTTCATGTTTTGTTTATAGAGTATTCTGTGTGAATTGTGACACCTATTAACTTATACAAGTGAAATCTTACAAAAACACTCACCAGTGAAGAGTGTTTTATGTTGGTAACGCTGTAGACCACTCCTGTTTGTTTGGATTGTCCATACGTCAGACCAGCATCATGAAAGTCTGAAAGAAGAATGATAAAACAAATGTTTTACAACTTTAATATTCAGCTGGCTTGAGTGTCGACAGTGTCTATATTCACAAATGTAAAAATGTAAAATGTGTCTCCATCCACCCACTTATCCTGGTCAGGATCATGATGGGGCCTGGAACATATTCTGTGGGCATACAGTATGTGAGGTAACTTAGAGATGCAGGAGAACCTCCATGTGTTCACATGCAGAGCTGTGCTACCCAGTGAACCACCCACAATGCTTTTCTAGCAGCAAAATAGCTGTTAATTTAGTCTGTCTGTCTGTCTGTCTGTCTCTGTGTACAGCATTTCCTTCAGTATTTGTTTTATGACGTCCTATGTTAAAATCAAATGCATTAGCCAAACCTTCTTGAAAACCAGTTTGAAGTAAACAAGCTCTCAGCATGTGATGTGTTCTTAAAAAAAATTCCCCAGTATTATGCATTTTCTATACATTTTAGTATTATTTACATATTACCATATTACTGTAAACCAAGCACATAAAATGATCTGCACGGCTATAGGAAATGATGCACATTGAATTTCTAAATGTCTGTCTTAACTGCATTTGTCTATATCAGGGTTATTCAACTCACGGTCCTCGAGGTCCGAGCACTGCTGGTTTTCCAGCCTTCCTTTACCTGTCAGTCAGGTGTGAAGCCTCTGACCAATCAGAATCAGTAATTATTAAACAACTACCTGGGGGAACTGAAAACACGGCCTGGATTTGGAATCGAGGTCCAGAGTTGAAGAACCCTGGTCTATATCTTCAATGGCGTAGGAGAGAGTTTGATATTGGGGAGGAGGGGGGACCATGAAGCCAAATTAAATATTGGGGGAGAACACAACCTAATGCAGAAATTACAAATTGAGAAAGCAGAGTCGATTTGCAAGTGTGTCAGTTAAGGTGTTTAGTGTGATGTGGTTATGTGTGAATTTAAGTGCACTAATGAACTGAACTAATGTCATTACTAATGATTACAACCTTTTAATGCTCAGCCCCCTTGTTTCACTTTTGCCCAACCTTACATTGCTGGTGGCTGTTTTTTTTTCCCCCAGCCGATCAAATTTAAGTCTCCCACATATAGCTTCTCCAGGATATTAATGGCATCTCCAAGGACAGGATCTGAAACTGAGAAGGAGATGGAGGAAAATGCCAGTGGTCCTGGATCCTCCCTGTTTCCTTTGCTGATCAGTAATTCTGTCCATCACTAATACTAGATCAGTGGTGATTCAGCCTGCGGCCTGGAGTTGTGGCTCAGGTATTGTGCTCTCAGATGAAGGGTCACGGTGTCCTGGTTGTGATTATTTAAAGCTGAGCTTGGGACTTTAACATAGTGCAATGCAAAAGTTTGGACACCCCTGGGCAATTTACATATTTTGTCAGTTATATAAGTGAAAAATAGTAAACATATCCTACGGGGAGCAGTGTGTTAAACACAACATATTGCTTTTTATTCCATGAACATCAAAACATAGGGACGCATAAAATAGTAATTGTGGCATGTGCAAAAAAGTATTTAGTGACACCCCTTAGGTAGGTATTGCAGCTTGTAAACACTGTTTGTATCCAGCTAAGAGTCTCTCAGTCCTCGTTGGGATTTTTTCCCGCTCTGCCTTGTGGATCACTGCTAATTGTGACATATTCTTGGGCCGTCCTGCATGCACAAAATGTTCAAGATCTACCCACAGATTTTCAGTAATGCTTAAATGTGACGGCCATTTTGAAACCTTCAACTTCCTTTCCTTCGAATGGCTCCTGGTGTATTTTGATGTATGTTTAGAAGCTTTGCCGTGTTGTAGTCATGCCATTTTCCATCATCAGCTTCTTGGCTGACTGTATAACATTTCCATTTGTTAATATTTAGTGGAATTCATCCTTCCTTCTACCCGTACAATGTTCCCTGTACCACTGGCTGTCACACAACCTCAAAGCATAATGCATCCACCCCCATATATTACAGCTGGCAAGGTGTTTCTTTTCCATTGCGCTGTTCCTTCTTTTCTCCAAACATACCTCTGGTGACTACAGCCAAATAGTTCAGTCTTTACTTCATCAGTCTGCTGCACTTGATTCCAGAAGGCCTCTGGCTTTTCTAGATGCTGTTTTGCATACCTCAGATATTGAGTTTTGTGATGAGGTCGCAGGTAAAGCTGAGCTGCAGTGTGGAACAGTGCACCACCACCGCTCTGTCAGCCAAACCTTCCCATAGCTCCTCGAGTCGTATCAGGCTTTGCCTTTACCTTTCTGGCCAGGATACCTGCAGTTCTTTCTGCAAGTTTCCTTGGTCTTCCAGATCTTGCCTTGACTTCCACAGATCCCCTTAACTGCGATTTATTGATTACATTACGGACAGTAGAAATTGCATGCTGGAAGAAATCTTTTTATAGCCTTCCCATGCTTTGTAGATGTCAGATAGCTTTATTTTCAGATCCTTACTTAGGTGCTTAGAGGAGCCCATGGTTGTGGAGAGACAGATCAGTGTTTGTAGTGACACAAAATGTATTAAGCTCTGCAATTGTCAAATGGTGACAACTCCTAATGGCTACTAAGACAGATCCCTGGACAAATAGAAGGGGGTCCAAACTTCTGCACATGCCACAATTACAGTTTAATTTTTTTCTGTATTTTGACATTCATGGAATAAAAAAGTAACATTCGCCAATATGTTGTTTTTAATACACTGTTTCCTGCAGCAGTTGTTCACTATTTTTCACTTACATAAGTGAATAAATATGTAATTTGACAAAGGGTGCCCAAATTTTTGCATACAGCGGTATTTTGAACGTACAGAAAGGTAGCCTGCGTCTATCTAGGTAGCAAAGAGTACATGTTTAGTAGGTGTAACAGCCTTTCCTGTATGTTTCATTTTTTTTCTCAAACAGTCTGTTTGTATCTTGATTTGGACTACATAAATGAAACCTCAGACCATAACTTGTATGGTGGCTTAAAAATGCTTGGTCATTTCTTGTGTGGTGTCATATAATTATGCTTAGGGAATCTGACTCATAAAGGGGTGTGACAGCTATTTTACGCTCATCCATAGTAGTTTATTCTTTGTACAGTATTCTTTGGAGATTTTTTTATACCCCATTCATGGGAGCCCAGCAGTAGCGGCAAAGATCGTTCAGACACTGGAATACTATGATGATGATGATGATGATAAATATAATTTTTGCACGGTAAAAGTCTAAGTGAAATCTACCCTCTGTCAAAAACCACATTTATGAAGGATTATCAATATTCAAAAAGACCTCATTGGGATTGGGATAGGTATTTGTTCCCATGTCTGGAAGGTTTGTGGGGTTACATCCTGTGGCCGACGCTGTTGGACCTTGGAGCAACTGCTCAAATTGTGCTCTCTGACCTCTGCTCTCTGACCTCTGCTCTCTGACCCCAAGCTCTCCCCACTTGTATGTCATGGAAACCCCCTGCCAAGTAAATTTAAATGTGATTTTTAACTGAAAGAACACATGAAACTTCAGAGAAGACACCCAGGAAATAGAAAAATGTTCAGAGGGATTTGTTTCTCCAAATTAAACATTTTTGAGGCTACATATGTCCAACAAATCTAATAGCTATTTTAAAATAAAGAAAATTCTTAGCA